TTTTTTGGTCCTAAAGTTTATTTCTTGATATTGATGTGTGATAGTTGTATAGTTTTCTCAAGAGGAATCTGAACAGAAAATAATTTGATCACAGCTACTTATTCCAATGTACAATCACTCACACCTTCAAGAATACAATAAAGTTTAATAAATGTACAAAATATACCGTAACCCAAGACAGTCACGCGTCAAATCTGTCGAACTCTTGTAAATAGTCATACCTATCAATACTGAAAAAGATATTCGCCTCAACGTAAATTACGAAAAAAGAGAGAAATCCAAGGTATTCCTGCAAGAGGATTTACAATTGTATTGATATGCACTAGTACAAGTGCTTGCAAACAGATATTATGTGAAATGCTTTAGTTTCAAGATAGTAGATAATGAACGCGCTTAAGCTTTGTGAAATTAAAATGAAAATTCTAGTGGCTAGTTCTCAGTTTCACACACGGTTGCCACATTTAAAATCAACATAGAAACCTATATGTTACAAAACTGTTCCTTATATAGCATTGTTCTCGATTTTAAAACCACGTCATCTTGTTTACAAATCAAATCGCCAGTCCAAAAACGCTCACGATGCAGTACATGGTCTTGTTTTCCCATCTCACTGTACAACTTCCATCAGAAGTGTTATCCCAGAAACAGGAACTTGCGGTGTGAAGACCGGCTCCATTTTTCTGCATGATGACACAGGTGACGATGTACTTGAACGGTTTTCCGAGCTTGGTTAGTTGATTCAAACATTGCTCGACGACATTGGAAGTCCACTGATTCACTTTGTTGTGTTGGTAGGCATTTCCGCCGATAGCTCCTTCGACAGACTCTTTGATAATGTTGCTAACCTCGTCTACGACGAAGGATGTTTCTTCTGCTGACTGATACTCGTCCATTTGGAAGCTTTTCCCCTCACAGATGCGACAAAAACAGCAGCGACAAAACACAAATCACTTTTCAATATGGAGGATTAGCACAACTTAGCAACCACGAAAAATCTCGCCCCAGTACTACAACTCGCTCAAGATAGCAACGCCTGTTCATTTTCGACGCCTCGACCCCTTACGCTACTAACCACGGTCGATCCTATTTCTCTTCTCTGCCACATTTTTGAGATGGGAGACAGCGAAGAAAAACCTTGCAGCTTTATTAAAGGTATGGAAATATAAATCATTATATTTGAAATTAAGTCATCAAATAGAAGCTGACATTTGTAGCGAGCCTCCCTAAAAGCGGGCGCATGGCGTGGTGGGTGTTGTTCTTCGGATACAGGGCACATTTGAGAAAACGTAACCCGACCATCGGTTTTTGAAAGACAAATTTAATAATTAAAAGAAAAATTGACTAGAAGTGGCGAGGAAGCCATGAGAAACCACAAGGCTTTTACATGATGGGATCTCTCTTTGCCAAATCAAGATCCTTACAACACAACTGAAAGTGATAATTGTGATGATCACTTTGTGAAAATTAATGAGTTCTTTTCCTATTTTCAGCTGGTAATATCAGTACTTCCCCTGAACAACATCACCATCATCATCACCATCATCATTCAGCACCCCATGGACACAGTCATGGTGCCAATGAGCATGGACACACCCATGAATTTATGTCGAATCCTGGCCTGTGGACAGAAAGAGACAAATTAGTGAATAGATCTGACTGGAAACAAGTGAGTTTATACACAGATTTCTGGAGGATTTCCCATGTACCCCCCCTACCATTAAGACAAATCTCCTCAGCAGGACTTAGTTGTATTGAGGGATGGCACATGGCAAAATAGGAAGCTTGCAGAGCTGCTTAGACCCATGTTTGAAAATGAGAAATTATGTCTACAGAACTCCCTACTCCTAACTATTGCTATGGTGTTATTCAAATTACTGGATGGGCCTTGCTAGTACAAGGGCTCAAAATAAGACTATCACCAGTGTGATTGCCAGCTGCTGTTTAGAAAACCTGAAAGCTTAAGACTTCCATCACACACAACAATAACTCCAACCTGCCCTGGTTGACCTTTGTCTGAAACTCTTAGCTATGTGAACAAATCTGAGACCTCGAAAGCTTTCAACAAATGTAAACATTCAAGAATGAAACATTTGCAGCATAAACATGATTGCAAGGATCATTGCATAGGCTGATGAAATTACAAGACTGAATGAAAATTTTGTAAGACCTACACTTTATCAAGGCACCATTTTCTATCTCCATTATGGGAGCTGCAGTAAATCTTCTTTCTTTTCCTCTTTAGCGTGCTTTTACAGTAGGTATCGGTGGTCCTGTTGGATCAGGAAAAACTGCACTAGTCTTAGCTCTTTGCAGACATTTAAGGGATTCCCATGGAGTATGTGTTGTCACAAATGATATTTTCACCAGGTTAGTGCACTGACCATGTTTTACTGTAGATAGCATACAGATTTTTCATTTTGATATTTATTACTTCCAAATCATTTTTCCTTCAAATTAACTGACTATGAATTTCAGGGAGGATTGGGAATTTCTTGTTAAAAACGAAGCTTTACCAGAGGAAAGAATGAGAGCTGTAGAGACAGGAGGCTGTCCTCATGCTGCTATAAGGGAGGTGAGGCAAAAAATTTCTAGTTCACAGTATAGTATTAACCAGTTTACTCTGATTCCTTATTATCCCTTAACCCTTTAATTCCCAAGATCTGATTGTTAATTCTCCTCTCTAGCTGGTATACTTTTTCTTGTAAATTAGTGACAAGAATTTTGTGTTAGATCAAGATAACAATTTCTAGCTGATAAGTTTGAGTATTCACTTCCCCCTTTTTGCAGAATAACATAAGGATGTGGTAGAGAGAAGTTAAATTTTAATCACTTTGGGTAGTTAAAGGGTTAAGGGGATTTATAAATCTATTTATACATAGACTAATAACTGAAGAGAGTTTGTCAGTATATCAAAACAATACCCCTTAAAAGTGATAAGTTTGTCTTTGTTCATTACCTGTTGGCTGAATATTGTATAAAATAGATAAAATAGATAAAATAGATAAAATAGATAAAATAGATAAAATAGATAAAATAGATAAAATAGATAAAATAGATAAAATAGATAAAATAGATAAAATAGATAAAATAGATAAAATAGATAAAATAGATAAAATAGATATTATATTGTTAGAACAAGGCCTACTGGACAGTCTCCTACAATATCCTCTCTTTTCCCCTTCCCCCCTCCCTCCTCACCCCCTTCCCCCCCCCCAAAAGATATCTTTCCTCAGATCTTCAATTATCACTAAATCTGAATAGAAAATTGTGTAATTACATGGCACCAGTCTTTTACAGTATGGACCACACCCCCAATTCCTTTTTTTGGACCACTGGCAGCAAAGCAGAAAAATAAAACCTGCAGAAAAAAAAATACTTGGTATATTGGTCTATGTCAGTCCCGCTCTATACAAGGAAAATTGTGCCCTTGGTCTGGTTGGGTATGTTTTTTCCCCTATACAGACCTCCCACACAGTTAATAACATATTAGTAGATTTCTGGCTATTCAAATATATCACTCAAGAAAATCAAGGTCTTAATAATGTTAACGTAAGATCTCAACACATTTGGTAGGATTATTCACTAAACATGGAGGAGGTTAAAGACTTGACAAAAACATTCCAACCAGATCTGGTGATAATTGAATCTGGTGGAGACAATCTTGCTGCTAATTACAGCAGAGAACTGGCTGATTACATTATTTACGTCATTGATGTTGCAGGTTAGAATTCAAAATAAATTCATATAAAGTAAATAAGGGAGCAAATTTTTTTTCCAAAGTCCCTCTTTTATTCTCTGTTAAAAGCAACTGTTCTCCCTGGGTTTTCATGCAAAACCATGTGAATAGTCCCTTATATTGTAAAATTTTTAAGTCAGGTAACTAGCTTACCCAAGGAACACTCAAACTATTATTTAGAAAGGTCTTATGCTTGCTGACAACAGATTTTCCATCAAACACCCCTATACCTAGCTTTTAAGGAGGGGGAGTGTGGAGTTTTGATAAGCAGGTATTCCCTTCAATGCACTGAGAACAAAAGCAAGCAAGAGGATGGCAGAGATGAGAGAGAAATATTGTGGAAATGAGCATAGTGATGAATGATCCAATGCACTGATAACTAAAGCAAGAGGATAGCAAAGATGAGATGAAAATGTTGGGGAAATGAGGCATAGAGATGGATTATCAGAAAATGATGCTATCATGTATAAGGGATGTTTTTTGATGATTTGTAGGGGGAGACAAAGTTCCTCGTAAAGGAGGTCCAGGCATAACACAGAGCGACTTGCTTGTTATCAACAAAACTGATTTAGCAGAAGCTGTTGGAGCAGATCTTAAGGTAGGGCTTGATTTTTTTTGTTGCTCTGAAGTTAAATTCAACCTCTATTCAAAGTGACTAGTTCAAGATTTCTGCTAAATTATCCTGTATACAGGAAACAACTGCCTCCTACCTTAAAAAATGAGGATGGGGACTTCCCCTTTTTTTAAAGTTGTGGGAGGGAGGGCACACAGGCTATGCTAACTAGTATGCATCTTTTACCTTCAAGAAACAAATTTTTTTTGCCATTTATGGTAAGGAATCACATGTTTAGCTTCATCAAAGGTAATTATATTTTTCTTAGGTGATGGAACGAGAATCTGCTATGATGCGCCAAGGTGGTCCAACTATATTTTCCCAGGCCAAACATCTGGTTGGTGTTAAAGAGATTGCAGATCACATACTTGCTGCTTACAAGAACAATGTGAAACATTAACATAGAAGATTACAGAGGCCTCCTTTTATTATACTTTAAAAACAAATCTTGGTGTACATGTGAATAGCTTATCATTAAAAAATGGGTTTTAGGCTGAATGGTTAAGTGTGATGGTTTCTTGTTGAGACCTGAGGTCAGCAACTTTGAAATACAGTAGTCAAAATTATTTAATTCCATCTTACTAAAAATATTTATGTTTAGTCAATGAAAACATTAAATTATTTAATTCCATAGCTTATCATTAAAAAAATATTTATGTTCATGATAATAATCATTATGACAACATTAAAAAAAGGAGTTCCTCAGATTGTACAGCTTGATTTGTCCAAGAAAAACTTCATGGCAGGCATGTTTTGATTTCCTGCTTTAATTACAAACTTCTTAATTGTTCATTTATCATTTTTGTGTACTAAATAATAAGAACATTGTTTGCTAATGGACAATATTTTCATTTCACGAGTGGGTCTCCTCCAAGTCTTGGTACAATATCTTGAATAATCATTCTAAAGAAATTGTAGGCCTGAAGAACAAAAAAGAGATGATATGTTTTAGGCCAATACCTCTCAGAGAAACAATGACAGAGGCTATAAATAACCGTATCACTGACTCTCTGTCACTTTGAAAAAGTGACAGAGATAAGAGACAGCAAGGTCAACCTCTGTTATGCACATCTTTGCATAATCCCTCTTGTAGAGTAGAGACAATGTTTTCACATAAAAACTGAAGAGTGTCATAGTGTTACTACATGACAAGTATGCAAGTGAGCAAGACAAAATGAACAAGTAAGCAATATAAATGAAAAAACATGAAATGACATGAAACTAATTGCACACTAAATTATGCACTTAATTCCCAAGCATGGAAAATATGCAGCATGTTACTAAAGTTTTTTGCAGAGAGTATCTGTTACTTTAATTGCAACATACAACACCCGAAAGAGGAAAGTTATTGAAAATATCACATCACTTACCTCTTCTGTACTTTGTGTGGTTATGAGTTTGACAACAATGCCATCACACAGTGAAGGATCCAAAACACTAGCAAAGGCCATCAAATCTTTCTTGACGACACTCATATCATTACATTCTGTTGATTGAGTCAAACGAATTTGTTCAATAAAAATTAACATTTACTCTTTCTTTCAGAAATTGGTGCTGTAGTCTAGGTTTCAAAAACCATAATTCATTTACATTTACCTCTACTGTGTTTTGAGATTTCAGAGAGAAACCTAACCATTTGAAAATTGTCTCCAAATGAAATAAGAATTTATCAAAGGATGCCACCTGTTTGACAACAATTTGGTTAAACCCTCTCATGCACTCAAACCTACTGTGTTCAGTTCATAAACACTTCCTGCTCTGGTTAATGTGAAAAAAAATTGTTTGAGTCACAAATGCCTTTAGTGCAGCTTTTTAGTATTTAACCCTTTCACTCCCATGATTGATCAAGAGAGAATTTCTCCTTACAATATCAATACAATATCAACCAGAAAAGTGATGAGAGTAAGGATAAATATCAATTTGGGGATTATTAGTTGATCAAATATCAAAATTAATTCTCCAAACCAACATCATGAGAATTGTATGGCAGACAGTAAGGAGAATTACTAATGCAATCTTGGCAGTGAGAGGGTTAAAGAGGTTGCTAAGGGATGAAAGAAAGAGAACCAAGCCTTTATGGTGTCCAAGGAAAGCCACCTATTTATGATGGTGCATCCAAAGTAGAACGTTAGGCCAGGTCAGTTTACTCTTTGGCAATCAAAAACACAATCAGTCTGACTGTATCTTATAATTTCATATATTATTTGATTGTGGAGATAAGAATGTGTCTTACTTGTGAGAACAGAGACTCTCTCCTTAATTTTTTTCTTGATTTCTTTAAAATATGGACCAATAAAAACACAGGTTCCCAAAACCTGAAAGACATTTACAAAACTGTAAGGTGATGCTAATCCAAGAATGTTTATTCAAATAACAACTGAAGGTTATTAAAAATATCAAGTGTCTTTCAGTTACCATCACACCACACATGGATTCTTTTAGTGAAAGAAAGCTGTTCTCATTGCTAAGAAAGATTGAATCTCCATACACTTGCTTTCCATCCACAAAGACTCTGTTATGACTTTTGTAACTATATGTTCAGACAGAAAATATGTAACAATAAGTTTGAGATTAAATTGTGTAAATAAAAAATATCCTTACATGTGTGATTATACTACTACTTAATGGGAATGGGAATTTAGAAGTGGACATTTCCACTAGGTGGCTTTTCTTGTCCACTGTTTCTAGGTCGAATTGGAATTTGGAATGAGGTTTTCCTTGAAGAGAGAAAAACTGAAGGACCTGGAGATGAGCCCTCCGAGCAAGGACAAAAAGCAATGACAAACTCAACCTTTATGTGGTCCCAGGTCCAGGAATCAAATCCAGGCCACAGCAGTGGGGAGGTAAATGCCCTCAATCACCACTGTGCCATTCCTGCTCCTACTTACAATTTATAAAATAATGAGTAATTACCTAGTCATATCCCAGACTTCTCCAAGTGCCACACGCCCAGCTGTAAACCAGTCAAGGATGATGACACTGCCATTTGAAGTGAGCTCAAAATCCTACAACATAATGACCATTCATCAATGATGTCTGAGATTCAAACAACATGCAACCAAATCATTGACTTTCTGTTCTTACCAGTAGTAAACAAAGAAAAAAAATTTTTTAAAAGTAGCATTAATATAGTAATGGAAATGTTTTCGAGCAGTTGAAGGTTCCTCAGATATACCAGAGCACCTACAAGGAGGTTATTGTTGTTGTACACTTAAGGCTGGGTTCAAAACAAGCAATTTTTTTTACTGATCTAAAACTCACCTGTTTCTGGCTGTAGATGGCATTTTTGAAGCAGACCACAGGATCAGGAAGAACTGCAAGCAACCCTCCATCAGCAACCAAACCTCGCAAGCCTTGTTGTGTAACTAAGCCCTCTTCTGAGTGATAAACCTGAGCAGGTTCAAAGATGGGTTAAGATAACCCAGGGTTAGTGTGAAATCTGATTTCAGATCTGAAAACTTTAAAAGAAAATTCAGTAGAATTCTTTTTGCCAACAATTTTATGACTGGATGAGTTATAAATAATAGAGAAAGGCCTTTGAACAAAGGAATAGAAAAACCTGGACTGAAAGTTAACCCTGGGTTGGGGTTAATTGGCCTTGAAATCAAGCTCATCAAACATTTGCACCTTCCCTTCAAGAAAGTCTGGAGTGTTGAACCCTTGCAGTAAAAGACTAGGCTACTGACCGTCACTGGAAAATGTAATAGATGAGCACTCTGAACTGAGTAGGCTGCTGAACTGAATTCTGCTGGAATAGCAGAATTCAATTCAATTCAACAGCCCTTATCAAGGGGGTCAGATGGCAAGCTCACCAAGTAAATTTTGAAATAAAAAATTCTTTGAGACATGAAATATGGTCCATTCTAGGCCATACTTGGTTAACTTCTTTAGCCAGACATTGATGCTTAGAATCAGTTCAAAAATACTTATTTTCTGTCTTTGATCACAATTTGCAAAGTAGCCAGTGCAAAATGGCATGACAATCTTCAGGTTTTGGCCAACTACTGGCTTCTTTAACACTTTAACTACCAGAAGTGATTATCATGTAACTTCTCCTTAAAGTATTTATACATTATACAGCAAACAGGAAGTGAGAATACTTAAACTCATCAGGTACAAGTTATTGCCAAATCTTGCAAGCAACTTACAAGGAAATGTGTAGTGGCTAGAAGGTAGAATTGACAATTGGATCTTGAGAGTTAAAGGGTAAAATAACAACCTTGCTTACCTTTGTTGAGGCCTGAGTGGTCACAACCACTGTACAGTGCTCCCCAACCTTGACATCAAGGGACACATTGTCTCCCTCCACAAGCCCACCGCCAAATGTGATTACATACAGCCACTGACTGCTTGGTATAGAAGATGCACAACCTGGCACAAGTAGTTTTAACTGCCAGAAGAAATATTTGATAAGAGATTGACATGACAAATTTATTTGTCAGAAGAATGCTATCTGAAAAAAATATAAATTGTTACTAAATTCTCAAGCAGAGTACAGTATTTCATTCACAGAAAGTGACGGTTAGGTAGTAGTTTTTGCAGAGTTTGCTTTTGTGAAATTCTTATTTGCAGTAATTAATTTTTCTTTATCATGGACCATCCACAAATATAGCAAAAATTAATTTGTGTTACTATTTCTTACAGGGTAAGTGTACTCAAGTTTGGTGTTTCTGACTTTGTAGTCTTCTGCAGATTCCTGCCATGTATCTTTATTTTGGACAGGGGAGCAGCAGAACTCTGCAAATCCCTTCACAACTTTACGTTTGTCTAAGCGACCATTATCATCAGCTACGTATTTGCCATTTTCAGTGGACATAGATCCAGATCTTATATGCAGTTGATATTCCAAAATTTTCTAGTCCTACAATCCTGGAAAAAATAAAGAGCAAAGTTAAATGGCATGGAATGAACAGAAACTGGCATAAATTATTGTAAAGATTTTTTCAAATATTTATAATAGTCAGATATGACATGGGTACTATAAAAGTTGGAATATTTGTGGTTCAGAGTCACTGAATTACAAAGGACCCAACAGTTGGTATTCTTAAGAGATTCTTAAACAAAATCTCCCTAAGTCATTCTGCAGATGCGTACAGTACTCAGAGAGAGACATGATCTCTTTGTGCTCTTATCAGCATGCAGAGGAACACTCGTGCAAAATTTAAACATTGATCTTTTTCCTATTGAGGTAAATTGTGCGTTCTAACTTTAAAATCATCAGCCATTCCAGCTTATTTGTACCGTTCTACGTATCTAAACCTCAGGAATGAAAAGATTGACTCACTTGGAGATGTGACGGTGTTTCTTTTTTTACTTCGTCCACGAGGCTTAGTATTAATGGAGAAACATACAATAGGCTTACATGACGAAAAAATACTACTCTTAAAGCGCAATTCAGGGGAGACAAATAACATTTTTTTTGAAGGGAAAATAAATCTAAAACTCAATCCTCACACATATTGAATCCACAAGACTGATATAAAGACAAACAGTTTCTAATTTCTGAGAATACGGTAAAAAATAAGAGGTAATAATTCATGCCCTATCGGTGCCCTATGGTGTAAGGAAGTGTTGTTACCAGTTTCCGCGCGTTAGTTTAAAATGATCATGGAAAATATGGCGGATAGGTGGAAGATCCCCAACCTGAAATGATTAATGTTATCGGGACGAAGCAGGGATTAATCAGTTATTCTACTGACGTAAAGAGGTACGCTTCCCCCCCCTCTCCTGCCAAAGAGTTTGAGGACCAATTTATCGATTCGTCATTGCCGTAAACGCGTATCTTTTGAAAATGGTGCGAGTACTTCTATTCCATTACTTCAAATCGCAACGTACGTTCTCCGATTCTCTTCAACCTACCTCTTTTGCCTCTACGAAAGATTATCTTTTCCTTGGTACTAGAGAAATGAAGGTGTTTGTTTACTCACTCGAGCAACCGAACTTTCCTCTATTCTGTGAGTTTCCGATCATGTCAAAACCTGTCAAGTTGATTTGCAACGAGAAAGCCAAGTGCGTTTTGACAATTGAGAGAACAAGCCGAAGAAAAAACGCTGGCAATAAAGTAGTGAGCGTTCAAACTCACTCTCGCGCTTACTTTAACTGGTTCAAGGCAAATCCTGACGAGGCGGTGCGTACTTATGCAGCGGGACATTCTCATTATCAAAGGCAGGAATCGGAGGGAAAGTGCAAGGATTTCCTTGCTTTAGAGATTCCCACCCAGTTTGATGTCACAGCTATTTGTTGCTGCCCAACAAGTGGTAACGTTGCTATTGCAAGCGTGAAAAAAGTGAGTTTGTTCAGATGGAGTGGTAACCTTACGTCTGGCGGCACAGATGTCACTGCAATGTATCATGATATGGAACATTTCCTTGACATTGAACCAAGCATGATTGTAAAAGAAGTTGTTCTAAGTGACTGCTACCTAGCTGTGAGGTCAAATCTAGATGTTCAAGTCCTCAAGCTTGTGTTTACAGCTGATCAAGATTCTGTGTCGTCAAGCAGAAGTGGGAAAAGTTCAAGTCCAGGAACAACTCTGCTGAATAAGTATAGCATAGCAAAGAGCTGTTGATCCAACCATTTGAGGGAACCCCTCCTCCTCCCTCCTTCTCCAAATGATGAAGGGAGGGTAGTATCCTGGCCAAGATAGGATCATTTTCTTCCCCTGAGCTTTTTTTAACCTTAAAATTATACATTAAGATGGGTGTGATAAGATCTATGATCTAAATATTATTAATGGATTACCAAGGAACGACTTGAAGAAATTTGGCACTACATTGGAAGTTGTTAGTGTTAGAGTGAGCTCCTTTTTGGTTGGGGAGAGATGGGGTAGTTTCTTTTGATGAACTGGCATGTCTGACTCAATGAGCAAAACAAATTCTTGTTATGATTAAGAAGCCTTTTTGATAAGCTTCAGCAACTGGTGCCACAAGCCTGATGAAGAGTGTGATAAGAGGCTTTATCATAAAGCCTATCCATCTTGCTCTCTCTAAGTTAATAGAGACAAGACAAAAATCTTTGTATAAGGGCTTTACCTGTTTGCATATTACAAAGGGGTGAGCAAAGCTGGAAAAAAGGATACAGACTGTCACTGTCACCATAACCCCAAACCTAACCCTAAACATTGAAAATCATGCAAGTGAGAAAATATTTTGCTCTCAGTCATAATGCATGGACCTCTCTGCACTTGGTTGGTCTCTCATTACCTTGAACTAAATATTTTCCTGTCGGGCCCTCCTCTAAGTCAATAAGTACCTAACATGAATTGAAAGTTATATTTTGCTCATAGGGCCACAGCATCCCTGTTGGACTTTGAATCCATGCTCCACCCGACACAACCAACCAAAAGAGAACCAAAAGCTGACAACTACGTTTTGTGGTCCTTTGATGATTGCTCACCATTATTGTCTTCAAATAAACCACTAGCTGTGAAATCAGATGAGGAAGTTGTGTTTCCGTTGTTGAGAAAGAAAAAGGTTTACAAAGACTTCTTACCAGATCCCAAGGAAATCTTAGGACCTGTGTCAGAGGTACCTGGGCATCCTGTGACTGTTGCATTTGGAGGTCTCTATGGAATTGGTTTTGCTGTGGATGGGTGTATGCTAAGAGTGAAAGGAGTTACCATGCTGTATCGCAGATTTAGAGTGGAGCAACTTAGTAATGAAGGCAATGATTCTGCTACACTTCACACATTACAACTTCTTCCAACTTATACACAAGGTAGGATAAATTATCTAATCCCTCTAAAGCGCTCTTCGAAATGTGGGATCAGCATAGGCCAATACAGACACTGTAATTTTTCTACAACAAAAAATTTAACCTTTAACCCCTAAGAGTGACTAGCATCTAATTTCTCCTTTCAATGTCACCACTGAATCACACATTAATGTCATGAGAATAAAGGAAATGATCACCAGCTAAAGAAATTCTTGATTGTTAGACAAATTCTCCTTGTCAGCACCTTAGTAAATGTACAGAGAACAGTATGAGAATATGAATACTGATGTTAGGGTGTAAAAGGTTAAAGGGCGAAAGGGAGATTTCTGGGGAGGGAGTGTTTTAAGAATTATGACAAGGATCGTAGGCTAGTTGTTAACTTTATGTCTGCTATGCTTTTGATCGGCAATTCCTGTTCTGTTGCACAACTCCCAGATAGAAATCATTTTAAACCTAATGGGCAGGTTATTTAAACAAAGTATAGCATTTGTTTAACAAAGCTGCATTCTAAGCCATCTTCAATTTAGCCAAACCATTTATCTGAACATTTGTTTTGGTGAACAGTGTCAAGAGGGCCCAAAGCTAAGAGTAGAAGGACATTTATCCAGTTAATCAACCCTCTTACAGGAATCCATGAGGCCCATAGTGGTTTGGGTTAGAACTCATGTAAATAACCAGGCCAATTTGTTGAATCCTCTAACCTGAGTCTAAGCAACTTCATAATGAAATGTTGTTGCTACCAGACATTGGTCTCTTCTTTCTCTTTCTCTCACCTGTCATTACAATCTTAGAAATTGGCAAGGGACTGTGAACTTACTTGAAGTGTCTTCCCATTGATACAAGGCTATTTTTTTCGGTGACCAAAATTTTCCTTATGGCAACCATTAAACAATTGAAGGTTGGGAAAAGGCTACTTTTGGAAAAATGAGCCTCTTTTTTCTTGTGCTAGTATGTGTTAAAATGAATGACAACTTTGTATTTTGGTTTTTATCTTTTTAGGAATATCTAATGTGAAAGAGATGCAAAGATCTCCCTTAGTTGCAAGAACTCTCTTTGACCCTACTTTGTGTGGTATGTGTTGCCTCATCTCTGGCCCTAAAGAAGGCTTCATGTATGATGTGTTTGATACTTGTAACCTTCTGTCTTACTACAAGTACACCATTGATACAGTCAGTGTTTCCGTCTTTAATGGTCTGCTTCATGCAATAACCAGACAGGGAATTGAAACTTACACTGTGCGCATATATGCAGCTGCATCTGATTGGATCAGAAAGCATGCTGCTGAAGATGTTCAAGTTGACGAGCACCAAGGTGAGGAGCAAAGTGTAGTGAGCAATTTTGGGGGACAAGAAGAAAATTTTGGGGAGGTTTTTGATGGCAAAAAGAAGTCTGATGAAGATCTGGAGAGAAGAGATGCTGAAGATTTGGTAGTTGAGAGTAGATCAAGTTTAGCCTCTGCTTCTGGGTGCACACGAAGTGAAGAGTTGCTTGAAACAGTTGAGGTCAATCAAGAACTCAAAGAAAGTGTTGAACAAGACTATTGTGAGCCTTGTGTCACAGAAAACATGCCATCTACAGCAACTGCATTTACCCCCACTCTTTCATGTGCTGACAACCCAGATGCCACAGACACTGCTTCATCTATTAAAAGTACAAAACTGTGTGGAGATGAAGCTCCTCCTGCAGGTTACAAGGAGGCAAAACCATCACCACCAGATATCAAATGGACTGTTGATAACTCTGGCCGTACACTTGTGAGGTTTACATCGAGAAGTAAAACATCTCTGCATAGAGGAGCAATGACAGGTGATATGAAACAGTTTGAAGAGAGTGAACATAGCAGTGATGGTGCAGATGGTGAGTATGACACTGAGATCAAGTGCACAAGAACGTTTACAATTAGCAGTTCAATGAATCGTTATACCAGCACTGGAGCTAAAGTGAGTGATGCTGTTTATCAAGCTGCTGTTATTAAACTCTCCAGTAACAATGGATGGCCATTACCAGTCTTTGACCTAAAAAGCCTGAGACAGGTATGATTGTGTATGGAAAATTTAGTAACCAAGCATTACAAATATAGCAATTCATTGTTAATGTCAGAGTTTTACCAGTTTCTATTGCTTGAAAAAAATACAATCAAATCTGTATTAAGGGGTACCAGATTAAGCAGTTGCTTGTCTAAGTCCCCAATTTTTTTCACCCTAGATACTGTAATTTTGATCTATCCAGGACTTGACTGTGAACCTTTTTGATCTGGAATCCAATGTCCAATCCATGTAAGAATGGTGTCTCCCACTTACTAAAATTGTTGGTAACTGACTACCGGGTATTTCTGTTTATAATAACCAGCTAGAATACCTCCTGGCCCTGCTTATGCAGCTAGTTCAGAAGAGAGGTTTGAGTTAGTCTTTGGGTAATATTTATATTTCATAATTTTTTTTCCATACAGCGCTGTCCTCAGCCAAATCTAGACGTCTGTTTGATTGGCATGTATCCATTTATTGGATGTCACTATGTGTCTGCTAGTGAAGGAAATGTTGTTTTGTTCTCAAAATCTGCACATGACCACTTGCAAAGAAGCAAGAGGTACAGAACTCTGATATATTAGTCCATTTCTCTAAGACTGATTGAGATAATTTATGAGAATTGCAAATGCAGAGACAGGCAAACATAGAGTCCATTTAATGGCAGTTTTAAATAACAGTTAACAAATAGACAGACAGACAGAAAGGCAGATGGCAGTCCTTGTGGAGCATGTGAAGAAAGATAGGGAAGCAGGTGGATAAACAGAGATGATAAACAAACCAACATTTGCACAGAGCAGCAGAGGGCCCTGCTTTAAGCCAGTTTGCAAAGCCAACAGGAAAACAGGCAAAGAGAAAGACAAACCAACAGACAGACAGACTGACTGGCTGACAGACAGACAGACCAGCAGACAGTCCGATAGATAGACAGGTGGCAATCCAGTGACAGACATAGAGAGAGACAGCTAGGTGGGTTAATACATAGAGAGATGACAGATAGGCACACAATACTGACAGACAGACAGACAAACAATTTGAAGATGAACAAATAGATTGACGATTTCCTAGGACAGATAAATGAGACAAGGTCCTGATGGGCATAAAGAGGGACAGAATTTATCCAACTGGGTTCAAACAGGAAGATAGACAGCAGATGTACACTTACAAAGTCCATATAAAAAGATTTAAGAGACCTTATGAACTGAGTAGTGACAGTCTTAAAACAGATTGAAATAGATGTTATTTAGAGTACTCTCATGCATTAAGCAATATATGGTATAACTGAGCTGAGATGTAGTGTGTGTTCTGAAATGAGTGTCCGCTCGGTGGGGTTAAGTAGAGCAACTTTTCATAGAAGCGATGAGTACAAAATATTTAGCAAACATTGAAGTTGATCTTCATCATAATCCTAGTGCAAAATTAAATTTGTTAGTTTCAAGAACAAACCATCAAGGCCTCAGACTGAACAGAGAGAAAGTAAAAACCCTGACTGGATGGTATATGTCCTCCAGAACATGGACCCCACACAGCTTTACAAGGCAGTGGTATGTGGCACTTTTTCAACTTATTTCTGTGGATCACAAAATCTTAACCTTTTAACTTTCAAAATCTCATTAGTAATTCTCCTTGCTGTCTTCCTTACAATTCTTATGATGTCAGTTTGGAGAATTTGGTATTGGATCAACATTTAACCCCTTAATTGATATATTTCTTTATTCTCATTACTTCTATGCTTGATATTGTATTGATACTGTAAGGAGAACATCCCTCTTGGTCACTCATGGGAGGTGAAGTGTAAAATCCAATTCTTTATGGCACCATCCATTTTCTCCACACTGTTCTCCATACATGTCCTAAGGTGCTGACAAGGAGAATTTGTGTCACAATCAAGAGCTGCTTTGGTTGGTGATCATTTCCTTTATTCTGGTTACCTTAATATGTGATTCAGGGATGAAATTGAAAGGAGAATTAGATGCTAATCACTCATACGGGTCAAACATGGACTTTTCAGGCTACAACTCTTCCCTGTATCAGCATCATTACAAAAATTTTTTTCCATTTACAAGTCCAGTTATCTTGGAGTATTAGAACTTATTAATAGGATTCTTTTCCTTTTCAGATGCCATTGGCAAATCGTTGTCAGAAGCACAATGCACAGGCATTTCATCATCTCATTTGCGAGCAACACTTTTTCCTAAGAACACTTTGCTTGGCAGATTCGGGTTCCAAAGATGACAAGAACAAAAAGAAGCTTAAGAAGCTACTCTGCAAGTCTGCAGCAAATTTGACTGAGGTGTTTTTAAGGTTAGTTTAATGAGGGCTTAATTTTCAATAATGTTATTTAGATAGTGCAAATAGAGATTTCTGGCATGTATTAAGCTTCTCTGTCACAACCCTTAATCAAGTGGCCATGAGATTTTATAAGGCAAAATTTTGTCCAAACATAGGATTTCATTCATAAATTTGCCATTCAATTGTAGATATCTGTACAATGTGATGTAGCAAATAACATAATTGAATAAAGTTATTGATTTTACAGAATCCCTGATGCCTCTAAGGATAGTATAGACTACTTTGCAATGTCTGGTCTAACGCTGCGAGACATTGTTGACAAGGCTTATAAATCTGAAGAGCCTGTAGCAGATGGCTTGATCCATTTCTTGGATGAAAATTTATTTGGGTCAGACAAACAAGTTAATGTGTCAGAGGTGAGGGTCATGTAATTAGGCCCAGTTGATGAATGAAATATATGTCTTTGTCATTGTCTTGATGTGCACAATGTTAGTGACCAATGGTTGGTGCATTTGTGTACAAATATGAATGTGGTGGTCTGTGCTTTCATTGGGTTATGTTGTTTTATGTGATTATTAAGTGATAAAGGAGGGATTTCTTAAATTGCAAGCCTTAGCCCTTCAACCTCAAAGAATGACTAGAAACTAATTTCTCCATTCAACATCACCCCTTAAACACACATCAAGGTTTTGAGAATTAAAGAAATGATCGCCAACTAAATAAGCTCTGGATTGTTATGCAAATTCTCCTTGTAGGTACAATAGAAAATGTATAGAGAACAGTATTGAGAACTTACATACTGATGTTAAGGTGTAAAGGGTTATCAAAGAATTCTTTTTATTTTTTCTTCAGAGTATTACCAAAAAAATTTTCAAGCTCTATGCCAGAAGTAAACCAGGTCGAGTAGCTGAGATTATCCTGATGTCATCTCTTAGTGGGTTTTCATCAGGTTGGTTAGAGAAAATTGTTTATTGGATTAATTTGTTTTTCATAATTATAATTAACTAATCATATGCAAAGTTTATTGTTAATTTTTGCCTTTTAAGACTCTTACTAAGTGGAAAATATCCAAAAAAATTACTTTATCACCAAAAGGAGAGAGTGAATGCAATATTTACTTACAGATCACCTTGCTTTGTTCATTTTTCTTCATCATTATTCCTACTTGAGCCATCTTTTTTAGGTTACAAAATTGATGGGGAGAAAACAGAGCCTTTTGTGTCTGTTGTCTTGAGATTCAAATCGTGTTATACTGCATATCAGTCACCCCTTACTTCTTGCACAACCAGAACCCAGGTTGTTCTCTGCTATTGTGCTATCAATCATTAAGCTGACCTTTCTTCCTCTTTCATCCAATGCCCTATGCTGTCAAGTTGGTCACATGGGTCATCTTTGTCCTAAGGAGAAAAGAATTTATTACAGACCTATTTAACTTTAGGAGTGGTTGATGCAAGATTCAGCCATGTTTAAAATTAATGATATAAGTTTGTCCCGTTTAGAGACAGCACTAGCTGCCTTGGAAGATGTGAAGAAAACTAAAACTGAGAAGGGTTGTGCTTACAGGTTGGTGTTCCTGTGGTATATCTTATCTCCTAATGGACTTCTTTTATTTTCCTTTTCATTTCTATATCATTAGTCAGATAGATATATGGTAGATACCCTTATTTAAAGAGGGTTTCTCTTTCAGTGTTTATGTTGTAAAAAAATCACCAAAGGTCTTATAAATTAAACATTCAAGAAATTTTAAAAACAATTATAATAAATTTTTAAAATGTACATAATGAGTTAAGAGTGATGTAATTGTGTTTAATTAAGGAAGAGGATTAATTTGCTTAATTTAAGTTCATGATGGCTTGTTGTTAATTTAGCTTATCACCATTGGATAACGTGGTGCGAGCTGTGCTTTATCTTCATCAATGTGAACCTGATCTTGCCCAGTCTGCCCTCTTCTCTATTCCTGAGGTAATTGTGAACAAGACATAAATTTGAGGCAAATCTCAGACTCCACAGAGTTACAAACTCTATGTTAGTACTATATTATAATAATGAATAATGCATATATGATGTCACCATGAACACTATTTTGCTTTTTTTACTATATGTAGCAAATAGATTCCAAATTACTGTTAAACATTTAGATTCCATTTTGCCCCAGGTCTGTTCAGTAATAGATCACAGCAGAAGTCAAATTGTGGTAAGAACATCATTAACATACATAGCTGTGCCTCCTTGCTACTTTTTGGTTCTTACCACAAGTCATTTTGATGTCATCTGAGATCTATATCTGAACAAACACAAGGCAAAATGGAATCTAGGTGTTTTAAAAAATTACTGATTAAAATCAGTTATTTGCCTTGTCGTAGTTTAAGGTATCAATGTCAGATATGAAAGAAAAACAAATTTGTATGTATAGCTTAGGGAAGCATTTGAAAGTAGTGTTCAGTCATCTTTATTTCAACAGTCACAAAAATAGTTACATGGATGTCAGCACAGTTCTAAGTTGTAGACAGTATCTTATGAAAGAAGTGCTCGATAGGGTTCAGCTGAAAAATCACACACAAAGGGGTTCATTTAAAGATGTGATAGTAGAATCACCTTGTGCAATTATACTAAATGGTGGCTTGTAAACCTGTCACTTTTGTAGCTTTTCATTTGAAACCTGAGACCAGGGTTTTATGCAGAGGCTGAAATTTAGAAATAGCTTTCTTCTGCATTTTTGATTTAAAACAGAAAAAGCTTGTTGAAGTTCTGACCACTCACTTTTACTTGTTACATGATGATGGAACTCACTTTACTCCTCTTGCACAGGTAGGAATGTTTTAATCTGTAGGTAATTGTAATAGGAGCAAGTGGATTCCAATTCAGTCTGTAATCATGTGAATCATTTACAAAAGCAAATGGTCCCTGAACAGGAGTGTGGTTTGTTTATCACACAAGTGATTGCAGACAGAAGAGGAGCAAGTGGATTCCAATTCAGTCTGTAATCATGTGAATCATTTACAAAAGCAAAGAAAAATGGTCCCTAAGCAAGAGTGTGATTTGTTTATCCCACAAGTGATTGCAGACAGAAGAGGGGCAAGTGGATTCCAATTCAGTCTGTAATTACAGAATCAAATGTCCCCAAAGCAGGAGTATGATTTGTTTATCACACAAGTGATTTCAGACAGAATTGGAGAACTGATTCAACTGTAAACAAAAGTTTAGAGACAAAATATTATGTTAGATAAAAACAATAGTCTATGATAACAGTATCTACAAATGATATGTTAGTATACTCTCCAAGCACACTAACATGTAGACGTCATATTGAATCAAGATGCTTAAGCACAGGATGATTAATTATGATGTTAATTAATCACAATAGTTAAATTATTTGTGAGTGAGTTACTATCAATGATATCAATAAATTAATAATACTAGGTAGAAATATGAATTTGGTGCAGTTTGTTTTGGGATTTTGGTTCATTAACTGATTACTACAAAAATATTTTTTCAAACAAAATGAGATATACTGATTAACAAGGGATTCTGTGTGTCTTATTTTAGCTTTTAAGGAAACATCAACCTAAGCTGTTTATAGAGGTTCTTCTCAACATTCATGATAACAAAGCCTTGTCTGTGGAAACCCTTCTCAGTTTATTTGGGGTAAGTTAACCTGCTGTCTGGTGTAAATGAAAGGCAAGTGCCATGGGCATTGACTGGGCTCCACTGTTCATGTGTTGAACCAGGCCCCAGATAGGATACTGCCTGCATGATTGGTGATGCACTGTAACCCAGGCATTGGCCCCATTTCAGGCATCCATTTACAACAATAATTGGTCAGTAAAGAGAAAAACAATCATAGTGACAGTTTGGGGGAAAAATGCAGCTGCTAAGTTACTTAGTCTCCTGAAAAACAGTAGCTACAAAGCTGTTTGAGAAATTGAGAATTTAGCATAACATGAGAGCCTGCACTGGTAAGATTGACAACTAACTAAAAGACCCTGCTAAGCTTGTGGCTGTTAATTAAGTTGAGTTGACATTTACCTCAATTTCATTTTCATTAATAGCATGTTAGTTGTGTTGTTGATTGCTTGTTTTTGTGACCATCATTTTTCAGACCAGCAGGCCAGATGCAAGCCAGAATGAACTGGCTGTTGAGTTTATGGAGACTTTACTTAATGGTTTGTAAGACCACTGGTCACATCATGTATTTTTAAACTTCTCTTTTGAAATGCAGCATTAAGTTTATACTTCCTTGAAAATATTGCCTTGTCATATGCAAGATTCACAAGGTTCCTATCAGCACTAATTCATACAATTACACAATAGCTTTTTCTTACTGTCATTTCAGACCAAAACAGGTTGGACTCGTTTAGTGCCACAGTGGTAAGTATGAATACTTTGTAGCCCATTTCACTGTAGTCTTTTTAGTCCAGTATACTTGAGCCTAGTCTTTTTAATCTAGTTTTTTTTTTACATGAGTCCATCATTTGTTAACTTACTAATCTTTCCTATTCTAAACTATTGTAGTTAGTCTATCCTAGTCTCTCTATTCTAGTTTACACCTACCTAGTCTTTCTATACTAGTGAGCACCAGCCTAGTTTTGTTAGTTTAGTTTGCTTTAGTCAAGTCCCTTGTAGTCCAGTTTACTTTAGCTAAGTATCCTATGAGCTTATTTAGTCTACCCTAGTCTACCCCAATCTAGTATAGCCCATTCTATCCTAGTCTAGCTTAGGTTGGTGCAGTCTTTTATGGTCTATTTTAATCTAGCCTACTTTTTTCTTTAGTGTAGCCTAACCTTCTTTAGTTTTGTGTGAACTAGTGTTTTGCAGTGTAGTTAAGTGGAACAGAGGCGTTTCTTTCTTTTAAGTCCAGCCTTGTCCTTTCTAGTCTAGTTTTGCATGGCTCTGTAATTTTTAACCAGGCCAGTGTAGACTACTCTAACCTAGTCTTTGCTGTCTAGTTTAGTGCATCATATTATTTTCTAGGCTAATTATTCTTATCTGCCCTCTTTATGTCTGAACTAGTCTAGCCTAATCTACACTGGCCCAAATTAGTCTACTCCTTGTCTATGCTAGACTAATCTACTTGAGTTTACTTTAGCCTATTCTAGCCTAGTGTGTCGTGGACTAGTTGAGTGAATAAGTCTACTGTAGTCTATTCTAGTCTACCCAAATCTATTCTAGTCTGCACCAGTTTAGTTAAGCCAAGTCTGTTTCAATTTACTTCAATCTAGTTTAGTGTGGTTTACAGTGTAGCAAAGTCCTTTGGTCGATTTTAATTTAGTGTGGTCTAGTTTTGTCTTCTCGCTTTCAAAATAGTGTATATTTAGGCTACAATTCTAGTCTAGTTTAGACTATGCTAATGAGTCAGTTAGGGACAACACGAGTATTAAATAAACGCATTTCACTGATTAGTCATATTTATATACTTGTAATACATTACATATTTCAGATTCCATTATCTGGGATCTACCTGGAGAGAATCGGAAATCATCAAAGAAGGCGCCAAGCTACTATATCCCATCAACACATCGTAAGTTTGATGTGCGCGAATCGGCACGTGCAAATGTTACATACTTATAGGCTTAAAGCAACTCAGTGGTCAAACATAGCGCATGCGCAAGGGGATCAACTTTTGCCGGCCGTTCGCCAATTTTCCCGCGCAAAATTTCGTAGGTAAAGAGAAGAAAAAACCAAAACCAAAATAAGCGAAAAAGATAATTTGAAACGTTCGTAAAAAAATTGTAAAAGCAGACAAAAGTAGGGAAAAAGGAAAACTCGAGACTTTTTCGGACACAAAGCGTCTTCTGGAAGAAAGAATGGGGAGAGGAAAGAGCAAATTTTTGTCCAGGCATTTTAATATAATTGTCCTTTGTTGGTACAAAACGAACCTTTAATGTTACTATGGTTTTACGTCTCTCCAGGGAAAATGGCAAGGAATTTGGAAGGGACACATTTCTTGACACTAGTTGTGGCTAGTTTGTGTTTGTTTGAAAGCTAAGGCGACTAATTTTTGGCTGTTTTATTGCTGTTCAAATTATTAGTTAAGTCGAAATCAAATTGAGGGGAGAGGAATTAGTCGAAAGTGTCACTTGAAGGGTTTTACAATACTATATGCCCTGGGTCTAAAAAAAAAATATCACATAAATTTCTGTCTTTGTAGAAGGTGGACGAACGGTAATTTTTTTATTGCGTGCGGGGGGGGGGGGAGGGGGTTAGGAGTTGGTTGTGTCACGATAACTTTTTACCTGATCCTCGCATCAGGCTCTCTAATAATCTTATCACCCCCTCCTCCCTCCCTTTCCCCCCCCCCCCTTATTAGCAGTAAATCGACAGTCAGTTTTCCATAGTTCCCTCTTTATCCTTTGTCGGCGACCACTGATTCCACCTCCGTTTCCCCTGAAAACCATGCGACCCCCCGGAGAAAAAGTCTTCTATCCAACCCCGCCCCAACCCCCACGGCGATAAATAATGACTGGTTCCTAAGATAGAACATTCGTGAATCCTTTTGTCGCTTTCTTTTTAGCCGAACGGAGAAGGACATTTTGGAACTCGACACCCGTGGCTCGACAAGCTGTCTCCTTTTAATGGTCAGGAAGTCAATTGCTTTTGTGCTTTACTTATTTCATCTTCTATTGCTGGTTTAGTTACAGGGTTCTCTACTTGTAAGGTGCATGTCACTGAATTCTGAAAAATCTTCGAAGGTAATGAAGCTATCCTGCTTTATAGAGAACCAACGCAAGATTGGTAGCCCAATTAGGGACTGTTCATTATAAGGGAGGGGGGGTAAGGGGATGGGGGGGGTAGGGGAGGGGTTGACTGGTCTCCTTGTCAGTTCTTAGCCACGAGTGAGGAATGTGCTTATAAGATCTGTTGTATTTTGTTGTGTTACAGGCGCACTGTGTCTCCCCGGACTCCCAGGCTGCCCTTGCGCGAAGCCGGTCTCGCCACAGGCCTCCCCACAGCTGTCTCGATCTTCCTCTCGGTTTTCCAATTCTTCCCGACGATCAGCTGGCAAGGGTCCTTATCTTTCTGTCCAGCGTGGTGTAGACTCGACTGCGAGCCCTAATGAGTGTTCCTGTTGCTGCTGTAACGAGGATTTGATAAAAATTCAGGTGAATGGTTTGTTATTTGGAGCGAGCTTAGCGTACTTTTCGATTGAGTGTCGTTAAAACAGAACGGTAGTCATCACAATGGCCAATCACAGCGAGGGTTAACAGCTTAGAAGCGATGAGAAATCACAGTATAATAGGCTGTAAGAACAAAGTTGCCTCACACGAGTTACAAACAATCGCACAAGTAACAGAATAGTAAATTATCGGGATACCTGTGCTTGAATAAGCTTTGTGTTGGAAAGTTTCGAGCTTTCCCCTCTCTTAGTTTTGTCTCTTTTTTTACAGATTTGTATGAAAATTTTAACGTTTTCGCTTTTTTGCAAGAAAGTGCTTGTTTCTTGATTTCCTTTGAAATTTTGCGAGGGAAATTATCGCTCAGCCGGCGCATGCTCGACGTCTAACCGCTGTGTTCCGGGCATCTAATTGGTTGAGAGTGTGGCGCAAGTTTTCTTGGCCAATCACAGAACGAAGTACAGTAAGAATGCATGCTTAAGTGGCGTTTTTAAAGTGAATTTCCCTTGCGTAAATAACGTAAAATATGCTCGATAGTTAGATTAACGGCTAACGTATGCAGATAAAGATCGCTAGGAGCCCATGTAAAATCAGGCAGGCTGCTTGAAGCGCGGAAAGCGCGAGTGACTAAGTCAAATTTGGTTTTGGTGTACTACTTAATTGGTACATAGGTCAGCGCGAGGTTTCTTGCTGAAAAAATTTGTTCTTCGCTGACAGAAGTGAAGTAAAATCAACGCAATACCGAAGCAACCGTTAACATTCAACTGCAAATTGACAGTGGTCCTCAAATAAGTGACAATCAACTAGGCGTAGACAACACTATGTCGAAGTAAGTATAACTGGCCAATCGCCAAGCGCGTTAAAATGACGTGACCAAGTCTTGACTGGTCTCCCTCTTGCATCAGAATGGTTGCATTGGTGGCGTCATAATTTTATTCATCCTATCGTAAAACATACTTCTCTTCTGTAACTCTCAGGAAGTCCATATTTTACGACCGAAGGCTTTAATTTGAGTCAAAAGCGTCTCTATGATAAAATCTCCTTCACTTTCTCATTCATTTTATTTACTTATGTATTTCAGGCGCTTTTATGCTCCAAGTATGTCAGCAGTGAGTTGGCTGATTTCGTCTTGAGCAAAATAGAGGGTCAGGCGATAATAAAGGAAAGAACCTCTCTCCTGCTTCTTTGTCTGCCACATGTGGAGCGACATGCTGAGGTAATACATCGATCAATTCGAAGCTTCAACACCCGCCTCTGGCAACCTCTGGGCATTTGAACTTTTGAAGATTTTGGTTTGTTAAAGTTCCCCCCTCCCCGGGGGCAAAAATTGTGTTTAAATGCCCAACCCAATTTTGGGTGGGGCACCCAAAATCAGCGACCGTGATTTTCTACATATTGACCAAGCTATAAAACCAAGACCGTGTAGACCTTTTCTTTATTGCGCCATTCGCTCGCAGAAGCGAACTATTTACTACAAACTCCCCCATATTTAAAGACATAACACTTGTTTTCCGTTGGAGAGACTTGCCAACTTCCCCAACCCCCCAGGCACAAACAATGGTCAAATGCCCGTGGGTTGCCTAGGGGAGGGGAGATGTTGAAGCTTCGAATTGATCGACGCATAAGGAAAACATTTGTTTGGAGAAGGTGATGCACTACTAGCCTAGAAGCCATTTTTCTAGCAAGATGCTAATAACGTTAGCTTTCTTTTCTCTTTCTTATCTTTGTAGGCTATGGCCATTGTTTTGGACGAGTTTTCTTTAATAGCTTTACCTTATGCAATGCACTACTTTGGTCAGAACGTGGAGAAGGTAAGTTGGGAACGGAAGGGGTGTTTTTCCTGTACGCTTCTCCTAAAAATGAATAGTTGTCTTCAACTCAAATACCTAATACCTTCTACTTAAAGCTTGATCAGGAATCACGAAGACTTGTCAGTATTTTTTACTTTTTTTCAACATGTTGGTAATAAGAATGTTTTTCTTTCTCCAGTGGTCACTTCTGGTACAAACCTTGTTGGAAATGTGTAAAGAAGAAACAGACAGCGACGATTCAGAGTCAAGAAAAGAAGCCATCATGGCAGTCCTGAAAGGTGCGAATGTAAATCTTGTGTGTTATCGTTAGAATGTGTCAGTTAAGTCTTCAAAGGTGCAGTAAGAAAACAGTTAAGTCCAGTCGGTCTGAAAATCACCTGAGTAGATTTTCTGAGCAGTTCTTCGTACCGTTTTTACAAACTTCGCTTTCGGTAACTCATTTTGAAATGTTTGTCTTACTTGGCTTCAGTCTCCAGCTGAATGTTTCCACGTTTGTTAGTAGGTGAATGTTTCCCGCCCTTCATTCCCCATCAAGTGCCCACACTCATCAACTGCACCATGCTTTCCCGCGTGCAATACCAGTGCCATGCTTTCCCGCGCTTATTACCAGTACCATGCTTGTCCGCGTTCATTGCTAGTACTCTGCTTTCCCGCGCTTATTACCAGTACCATGCTTATCCGCGTTCATTGCCGCCATGCTTTCCCGCGCTTATTACCAGTACCATGCTTATCCGCGTTCATTGCCAGTACTCTGCTTTCCCGCGCTTATTACCAGTACCATGCTTATCCGCGTTCATTGCCAGTACTCTGCTTTCCCGCGCTTATTTCCAGTACCATGCTTTCGCGCGCTTATTACCAGTACCATGCTTATCCGCGTTCATTGCCAGTGCCATGCTTTCCCTCGCTCATCACCAATTAAATTTTTCCAGCCCTTAAAAGCCAGTTCCATGCTTTACCATACTTATTACAGATTGAATGTCTTTCCGTCCTGTTTTATTGCTACTAATTACATGCTATCGCATGCTTATTACGCGCTGCAATGTTTTCTACTATTTCTTCCTGTAGTTAAGTGTCTGCCTTGTGGCCAGAAAGAAATGGTTTCGTCCGGTCTTGTGACGTAACGATATCAAGGTTCTATGTTGTTTTTGTTCTTACGCAGGAACCCTTCAGCAACTCTGTTCAATAGTGACCCCGCGGGAGTTCTTGGGGCTGTTGCCAAGCGACGGATGTCTCGGATTTTTCCTCCCATATCTCCAACACTGTCACAGACGTTGTGGGTCAAGCTCTGTCAGCGAGAGACTGGCGACAAGGCATCTCACAACGTAAATAACTCGTAACAGACAAGAGGAGAGCCGCGCTTTCATCCTTTACAACCTAACATCAGTATGTATATTCTCCAAACCGTTCTCTAGACATTTCCCAGGGTGCTAACAAGGAGAATTAGGTTAAGAATCAAGAACTTCTACAGTTGGTGATCACTTTCCTTTATTCTCGTGACCTCAGTGTGTGATTCAGGACTGATGTTGTAAGGAGAAATTAGATGCTAGTCATTCTGAAGGGTCAAAGGTTTTTTTTTTTTTTTTTTTTTTTTTTTTTTTTAAGGTCTTAAACAGACTAAATCCGAAAGAGTTCGAGAGAATTTCGAACACTAGTAAATCGAATTAAAGAGCTGAGGTTTCACAAAGAAATATTCAAGGTTAATCGCCTTTTATTCAAGTGGTTTCACTTATATATTACAAACCGATTCGTTATGCGAATTTTTTACCACATTAAAGAACAATAAGCAATTATTGACTGGTCCGAAGGAGACCAGTGAGTTATTTTTGACCGAGATCCTCTTAATATATTCACTGTTTCCTGTAGCCATTCATTATGTTATACCTCCCGACTCAAAAATTAGGAAAAAAAATTATGTACGTATCCATTAAAGCTCATGTCTACATTGAGAAATGATCCAAATCCTAATTGCAAATGAAAAAGTTTGTAGGTTTCAAGATGCCCGACTTGATCACGTGCGTTGCGACCCATGGAACGTGACACAAAACGTAGAGAGGCATGACAGAACAAATTGTACTTCACGCTGAACGCGAGAAAATACATTGTGGCCTACACAGATTAACCACAAATTGCTGTAGCCAACTTTTTACCGCCAAATTATACAAACGTTTACTGAAGTTAAAATGGGGACGTTAAGCAAACCACGACGGCGACGGCAACGAGGTCATGGAAAAACAAAAGATCTAATTGGCCGAACAATAGCTTAGCACGTGCGTTTTAAAACTTTGTACATTTCCTAGCCGTCTCATGCAAAACAATAACATGAAATCACCACAATCTGCTCGTCTGCGAACCGAAACCGCGACGGCAAATTATTTTAATTTCCATTCGGAACTCAACGCTTTTATACGTTGTGCTAAAGTTGAGGTGTGGCGCCGTAGGAGACGGTAAACACATGCAGCCGTTTTTGAAATTCTAATTAAAGGCAGAAATCCATTTTTTAATCGAAGTATTCCTTGGCGTTGCCGTCCTGACTGCTTAGGGTCCCTCATATATATTAGGCGGAAGTTACCTTCTGAAGTCAATTTTGATACCTACGACAATCGTTTTAGATTTGTAAAAAAGAAAAAAGAGTTATTGAAAATAATAGAATTTTCCATTTTTAGAAATAAATGAATGAAAGAAAATGTTGGAAATAAGTTAACATTTAACAATTCGAAATTATTTTTTTAAGAAAAAAAACAATTTTTTATTGTATCTGTCCGTCTGGCCAATTACACTCTAGCGACACTTCTATGAATGTTAAGGGTTTTAATCTCGATATTAAATAAAGAGAATTAAAATCTCACTATCCCGAGAAAAGAATAAACCTCTATTCTATTCCCACTCTGTCGTTCCTGGAGGCTTGGAAGTCAAATCATAGAGAACTCGTGAAATTCCTTGTACTTCTTTCAGAGATGCCACCATTTCATTCAAAACCTGAGAAAAAAGAAATAATATATATTAATTGCTTGGTGATTGAGATGCGCGCGCTCTGATTGGTCGAGGATTGCACCGGGTCTCGCTATAATCAACTCGCGCGGGGTGATTATAGCAGGGGTGCGAAATTTCACATTGGCTGCCCGGCATTTTGTCAATGTGTCCGAGGAAGTAATAAAAGCGATAGAAGAAAATTAAATTGCGAAGAGCACAAAACATGCTACCGAGTTCGGCGGAACACTTCTCAAAAGTAAGATGTGATGTTTCTGCTGATTGAATTAGACAAACCTGTTAAAACACAATTGTAACGTACTATGCCCAATGCTTTCTTTATTTAGAGACTTTACAACGAATTTGAAGGTACCTGAGTAATTATACTAAAAAAATTAGTCGCCTCAGGCTCAGTGAACATTGTTGAAAAATCCATTCGAACTGCATCTTCTTGCGCATAGGGAAGTTCGGTTGCTTTCACCTTGAGTTTTCACTGGCTTCTCATGATATTCACCTTCGCACTGGTTGGCTGTGATTATTATCTTGGTCTTGTTTTACAACACTCAATATAACCAGGCGCTCTCTAAAATAGCCAAAAAACCATGCGTTCCACAGGCGTGCGCAGACAGGCGAGAGGCGAATGCAAGAGGCGAGTCACACGCGACAGGAGGGACGCGAAAGAAAATCTCCACGCGCTAAACTCGCGCTCTCCTCGCGTCTGCTTCTGCTTGCCTTAATAGCTAAGAATTTAAGCCTGTTTTGGAGGCTCTCTATAAAGTGAGATTCTTACCTCGATAGGAATTTGCTTCCCAGGTGTAGCGGGCACTCCTGTCATAAAGTCACTTGTGATAAACGTTCTGATCACAACAGACCGCTGACAAGATGGAATGTGGTCGATAGGATCGCGGTCGAAGTGGACTGGTATCAAAACAATCGGCATTTGGCTTATTTTGTCTACAATACCTGGAGAAAAAATTCAAATAACAAAACGGATACACGATAAAATAAACATTCTTGTTTAATTTTCTAACTGTTCCATTCATTTGTGGGGCAATCTCTTTGGAGAAACACCGTAAGAAATCTACTCTGAGTATTTGGGAGAGAACTATGTGACGTTCCTTCCCACCCTCCCTTCCCAAATATTTACTATTTTGTTTTAAGCTTTACCGAAGAAGCTATACACTTCTAAGACACAGTGTCTTACTGGCGTGCGTTTGTCTGTTACTTGTGTGAGACATTTTGGTCCTAAAAACAAATCATTACAACGTTCTTACAAGCGCAAACGTTCGACCCCTGTGTTCACACCATTATTAAAGCCATTCCCCCCTTCATATCACACTAGACAACAGCAGTTCCTTACCATGTTTTTGAATGACAGAATACGCCACGTGGTCTGCTTGTTTTAAAGTGCTTATTACACCTGGTGACAAGAATGTGGGGGTGATGTCTTGAATCTGGAACTTGATTCTCTTGCCGAACGTGTAACAAACTCTGAACAAAATATGAAGGAAAAAAAATTGTAAGCCTCAACGTTGGAATAAAAGTGTTCACATGAGAAAACCCCTTATCTGAATGTCAGAGTTACCCAATCTGCCAAAACTATTGTCGCACCTTCACAGGAGGGAAACAAAGGGCTTCCAATCTTTGAAATGTGCCGGTCAGCGAGGAAAAATAAAAATGTGTATGAAATAAAAACATCATACCATGAAAATTGCTTGAGCGATTTTTTTTCACTAGTTGTAATGCATCCCTCACTTGTTCGCTGCGCAAACTCGTTCGTTTTCCTTATGCATCACAACTCGCGAATAAAAATCGCACAAGCGCATCTTCCATTGAATAATCTCTAGGACTTGAAGGGAGAGGAGTGGGGGGGCTAGGGGGAAGGGGCTAGATAATCTCTTTGTCTCGCATACCTACATGTGCAACTACATAAGATGAGGCCTTCAATGAATCAATCCGTTTACAAAAATACCGACTTAAAAATTGTATTAAAAGGAACAATTATCCTCGTAGCAAGAAATTAGACGATAGAAAAAGTAAGTATTGCAACTTTGAAGTCATTGCAAGCCATATGATAGAGAATTAATGGAGTAAATTATATATACTTCCAGCTGCACAAACGAATGTTTGGAATAACAATCACCTAAATGAACCTTCGTAAGGTAGAACATAGGCTATAATGGTGCTGGTAGAAACTACACCCCAAGAGTGGGAACTGAGGCTAATAACCAGGGAACGAGACGAAAAAAAAGCGACAAAAAGAGGGAAACTGGGGAGGTCCAATCACGTCACAGCATCACGGTACTGCAATTACTCCTTCCCAGTTCCTCGATTCTTCGACACTTCTTGTGGCCCAGTTCTCCAGTCATTAGCTCCATCCTCTGCCGGCCGGGGAGCCTGGTATAAGGCTACTACAGTAAAAAAATCACCTGTTGATATTATGACAAACTTTGGGGATTAGTTTAGCGAGGAACATCAGTGATTTCCAGTCGGGTGAGTCGTTGCTCGATAAAGCCACCACATAGCTGTAGGTCCGCCCGTCTCCCTGGACACCAACCGATTTGATTGGCAGCAGGGTGGCACCAATTTTGTATTTTGATGTTATCTGCAAAAGGGTCTCTCTGTCGTCTTCTGATGTACTCAGTTTCACCCGACTGAACAGCGAATGGGGCTAAAAAAACCATCAAGAATGAGCAGTTAACTATTTTGAACTATACTCATTTCAACTCACAATATCACCCCTGAATCACACATAAAGGTCACGAGAATAAAGTAACTGATCGCCAGCTGAAAAAGTTCTTGATTGTTACATAAATCCACCTCGTCAGCGCCTTAGAGAATATGAATGGAGACTATGCATACTGAGTGCTTTTCTCGAGAACAGACTTTAGGCCTGCCATACGAGCTCCAGGTACTAAAACCTTCGAGGTTGATACAAACGATTCTTATACGTACACGGCTCACCTTCTTAATAGCAGTAACAAAGTCTACAATCTGTCCCAGGATGATATTTGTTTCCGCAAAGTCGCTCCCCTGATAAGGTTCATCACCGCATATGATACGAATAGCCAGACCAGGGCCAGGGAAAGGATGTCTTTGAACAATGTCTGCTGGTAAACCCAACTCCCTTCCAAGTGCTCTGACTTCATCTTTGTGAAAATCTACCAGGGGCTCAATGACTCTTCCCTAAAAAAGTAATTGTGAATGATTCAGACTCTCGCAGCGCGCCTTATCAATTACGAACTTATGCACAGGAGGAATTAACTTTGAAATACATGTCCTGCATGTATATTGGCAAGTAACCAACTGCAACTAACATGTGAACGAAAACTTTAGAAAAAGAAGCCTCCAAAAAACATAGACTCCAACGGGGTTCGAACCCGTGCAATTAGAGCTAAAGCCCAAAGGGCGTCTGGCCAGGCTGTCGCGGCCACTTCCGGTTCTTTCTCTGGTGGTTTTGGACGGTGGAATGGGCACCAGCACCCCCTGAAACCCCACACTTCAACACCAGATTTTGGGAGCGAGGCAAAGGTAACAGTCCTGACTTCACCGACAACTGAGCACAACGGCCAACGTAAGAACTTTCTACTCAACTGATCATCACGTAAGAAAGCTATGTGGGCTCCACCTCACCTGTGCGCGTAAACTTCTAACAAAGTCTGTATCATTATGGTGAGTTTTAATGGCATCTGCCTTGTTACTGGCCAGTGATGAAGCACTTTCAATAAGGTCGGGTCGAAGAGTACCTGTAGATCATTATTATTGAAAACACAAATAAATAAAAAAACAAAAATAAAAGAGAAAAATAAAAAATTTTAAAAACCATGGCAAATTCTGTGGAATTGCCGCCTCTGTCTTCTGTAAAGAACTGTCTGCATTGCTACGGTTGAAAGCGTTCGCTCAATGGCATGGCAGTTGGTACGTTTGTAAAACCGCCAGCTGCACTTCGAAATAACAACGCTGAACAGAACGAACAACGAAATAACTAAAAAAAATAAAACACATCTGGAACTTCGCTTCTAGGTTGGCAAAATCTGTATACCGAATTTCAAACTTTGCAACCAAAGGGTTATCAAGTACATTGTACTGCTAACCTTGTGCCAAGTACGTATTGGTCTCATCAAGGTTTAGCTCTTTGCACACTTCATTGGCAACCTGAAATCAAATGCATTATCATTAAAATTCATGATTATTCTGTCATGTTCTGAAACTAAAAGTATGCTTTTATGCTTTCTTTCAATATCGAAAAGTGAAGTGTACTGACTGCTAAGTCTTTTAATAACACAAACATAAAACAGAGGAAACAAGCCATAAAACATGTTATAAGAAATGCTACATAGACTAGTATTTTTCCTGAAGAGGAATTATTAAAAGGCTGTAATTTGGATAGTGTGGGTTTTCCTAGCAAGAAATCCTGTATACTGTAAAAGAGTTCAAGATAATTTGCAAAGATAGCGGATCTCAATGATTTTTTTTTTAACCCAAGCCTCTTTTAAAACATCCCCCCCCTCCCATTAACTCCAATCCCAAATAAGCTGGGCATCACAACAAATTAAGACATGTCGAAAGAGACTGACCTTGATGAATGTGTCCCCTATAATCCTTCTCTTTTCCTCGGGGTCGGTTGTCACATTCAGGGTTTTTGTTACCTGTTTCTTAACGGGTGATTGGTCTTTTTTACCAGATATTACAGTTGTGCTGTTGTAAAATCGTAATGCAGCATTTACAACTGAGGATAAAACAAAACAAAAGACTAAGTAATCTGAGGCATTTTCCATCATTGCCTACCCATCTTAGCAACAGCTGCAGGTGTAGGAATTACCTAAAATGCACAAACAAGTTTGTTGTGTCTTGATGAGAATACCTAGAATTCATTAGTTTGCTCAAAACTGGAATAACAGACAGAATTGAGTGAGCTTGGATGGCAAAATGGTGAAGGCTTTTGTCATGCTACACAGTGTATTGCCACAAATATTCATTTCCTAAAATTTACATTAAATGTGGGTCAACCCTGAGAGTGGCTCTTGACCTTGCTCTAGAAGTTTCAGCTAAGTTCTCCAGTTTTTATGTTGTGCACCAAAAGGCAGCACCTCAAAAACCAACCCCACAAGTGGAAGAGACTTGTGCCATGGAGGTAATACTGAATCAAATTTATAATTATACTGTTGCAGTTTCACTCAATAGCAACTAAAAGGTAAAGTTAAGTTTGCTCTTGAGCCAAGTGGCCCTTCCAAGCACAGTTTCCTTAGCATGAAGTGACTAGGAGTATTACCACTCCTCCCTGAATGGGATGCCAGTCCTATGCAAGGTTACCCCCCTGCATTTCATCAGGCTTCCCTGACTATTTCCTGTACCCATTTATACTCCTGGGTGCCTAAGAACACAATGCAATGACCTGGACAGGTCTTAAACCCAGACCTCTCAACCTGGGGTCCTGTGCACTGATCATGGCATCTGCCAGTAATACAAACCAAAGTTACCTTTCAATCTAAGCCCTAAACGTTTAAGAGATTCCTCTACTTCCTGACTCTCATTCTTCCTCATAAATCCATTGTCAATATGTACTGCCACAACTTGCTCAGGACGAAGGGCCTGCAATACACTGTAATTTACTAGGGTTTTCACTAAAAAGTGTAGCACCAGTTAGAAAGTGTAGAGTAACAGGAGGATGCTCTCTACATCTGATTAACCCTTTAACTCTCAGAAATGTCAACCTCTAACTTCTCCCTAAAATATCCATACATTATCCAGCAAACAGGTAATGAGAATGCTCAAACTTATTGGCTAGAAGTTGTAATCTTGAAGTCTGTAGCAGCTACAGGGGAGAATTAACAAACAGGGCTAGGTTGCTCAAAGCTGGGTTAAGATGACCTCAAAATCTGATTTCAGATTTGAAAGCTTTCAAGGAAAATTTAGTATGATTCTTTTTGTCAGCAATTTGATGATTGGTTGTTCTTAAAAGAATAGAACAAATAATCACAAAAACGGAAACAAAACACAATAACAAAAAACAGTTCAATCTTGGGTTAGTGCTAATCCACCTTTGAACAACTGGGCCCAGATTTTGGGATTTTAAGGATTAAAAAAAAAAAAGATTCTATGTTGCATGGGCCTGTTAAGTGATAGGTTAAAAATGACTATAAAATGTGGTAAGAATTAAGAAGCAGCACACAAGGCACAGCTGAGTGCGTCACTGATGTTTTCACTGCATTTTTGACATCCTGGTGTTCTATTACTTTTCAGACCCACTGCAATACAGAATCTTCTTGTTTTATGTGATAAATAAGCAAAAAGCAAAATTACCTTGTGAAGCAGAGCTGCACAGACTGTTGAATCTACCCCTCCACTCACCAATGCCTGAAAAAAAAAACATTCAAATAAAATCAATCAATCTAAATTTAAAAATTAATTAATTGGTTGAGAATGTAACATGAACACTCCAAGGAGAAATCAATAAGAAGCCAAAGATTACAGTCTTAAATTGGACTAGTTCTACTGGCAATCAATTCTCTGGTTCAAATGCCTAATTCTGATTTGCATACAAGTAAGACAAAGGTTAAGTACTCATGCCTACTTACCAAAACATTCATGTTACCAACACTCTTCTTGATTTGCTGAATACAGGTGTCTACTCGACTTATCACAGTGTATGTTCCACAACATCCCGCAACCTAGTAACAGTTGAGGAAAATGAAAAATTGCAATTAAACTCTTTTAATCCCAAAGTCTGATTGCTAATAAATTTTCTCCTCCAGCTGCTGTACATTTCCTTTTGAAATAGTTGAAAGAATTTGCTGTTAGATCAAGAAAACAACCTCTAACTGATAAGTTTGAATATTCTCAATACCTATTTTGTGGATGATGTATGGATATTATAGGGAGATGTCACATGTTAATCACTTCTGGGAGTTAATAGGTTAATATTAGATCATTTTCCAACAAAAAAGTGACCATGGAAAGGTTTTCTTTTACACTATCATCTCATCAAAGGAAATGCGACCAAACAGCCTAATAACCAGCTAGACCTAGATAAAAAAAAAACAAATTTAGACATTGAATATTTACCCCGTACAGGAAATTTCTTAACATGACAACACCATTTTCTGTGAGATCAACTTCTGGATGAAACTGGACCCCATACAACTTTCGTGACTCATCCTCAACACCTTATCAAAGGAGAAAGATGCTTATTAAAAAGTTCACTCTGGAAATTACAGAAGATAATAATAACAAAAGAACTATCAGGAGCAAATTTGCTCTTCTCATCAAGTGATCCCGTGTTCTAGAACATAAACACTGTGTTGAGAGAGAATGACCACTTATAATGATATACTGAGTCACCACAGTGAGATTTTTAACCCTTTAACCCATAAGAGTGACTAGTATCTAATTTCTCTTTACCATGTCACCCCTGAATCAAACACTAAGGTCAGGAGAAGAAAGGAACTGATCACCTGCAGAAAAACCTCTTGATTGTTAAACAAATTCTCCTTGTCGGCACCTTAGAAAATGTATAGAGAACAGTGTGGAGAATATGCATACTGATGTTAGGGTGCAAAGGGTAAAAGAAGCAAAATGCGTCCTTTAACATTACCTGCAACAATGTCACCAGACTTGGCAATTACTTTCAAGCTACTTGCAACGCGGTCGATTGAATCTCCATGCGTCAACAGAACTTCTTGCTCTGACTGTAGTCCTCTAGATGAATCAAAAGAGATGAATATTAACACTGGAAAGTACTCTACATGCAAAGAGTGCATTCATGAATAAAAAATTTTGTTGATATCATATCCTTAGGCCAGCATCACACTTGATGATTTTTATTCTGCAATCAAGGCAAATTTAATAGCTAGCTGAAATCCCCAGTATCTGACATGCCAGATATCAGGGATTTTAAATGCAGGTTGTGCTGATTGATGAGAATCACCACCTCTGCACTGGGCACACCTAGCAATTTTTATGTTCACCGCAATTGATGTATAAAAATCATCAAGTGTGTTGCTGGCTCGAGTGACCCATTAGGAGAGTGAAACTTCCCTGTGTGGGTATGTGCATGAGGGATATAAAATCTGCTGCAATGAAGCAGTGAGATGAGAGGCAAGTGAATGGTGACAGAGCGACTAAGCAAGTAGAGGGGACAAGGCATTTTTAAATGGGAAATAGCACAGGACCCTGGCCACAACTGAGAAAGGAAAAAAAGTTCATCAGTGCTAAAAACTCAGCAATTTTGAAAGTTGCAGTCTGGTCCCCAAAATCATAAATTGGTCAGTAGCAACAACTTTTTTGCAGCTATACAAAGAAAAAAACAACAAATCAGACTTTTTAGACCAAAACAAAACGAATTGGGGTTGAGTCTGCTAATCTAACATTGGATTGCTTAGTCAGAGTAAGTGTTGCTTCCTTCAGAATACACATAAACTTCTAAAAGGCACTTTATCCACAGACTTAGTCCAGCACATGCTTCTTTTAATAAACATAAACCTTTACCAACCTGAAAAGTGCTGAGGATGTTTCTACATTGATGTTGAACTGTCCATCTTCCCTGATATCTTTCTTCATCACAGTCCCACCAAACTCTTTGTTCAACATCTTTGTTACCAGACAAAAGAAAAAAAGGTTTATTGGTATTTTTACTGATGTCATGAAGCCATTATTGACCAAGCTTACTTGGTCAAGGTAGTTCCCAACTATAAGTCTTGTTCTTTCTTGTGTTTCAACCCTTTAACCCTTAAGAGTGATTGTCTTCTAATTTCTCCTAACAGTATCAACTCTGAATCAACCATTAAGGTCACGAGAATAAAGGAAAGGATCACCAGCTACAGAAGATCTAGGTTTTTCAACAAATTCTCTTAATTATCAACACCTTAGGAAATGTATATAGAACATTATCCAGAATATGCATACTGATTTTCAGGTGTGAAGGATTAATGGATTCCTACAGAGCTTAGCATACATCTGAAGAAATGCTTGGTTGATAATGCCTACAGAACCTTTTTGACATCACTGCTTTACCTGCATTCCGTAACAAATCCCTAAGACAGGAATTCCAATGGTAAATATAGCTGGATCGTATTTAGGAGCATCCTCAGCATAAACACTATTTGGACCTCCAGAGATGATAATAGCCCTGAGATACAAAAAAATTAAATTGATGAGTTAAGAGGAAAAGGTATGCTACAGAAATCACATAACTCCACTGTAAAAAAGGCCCATCAAATGATTATTCACCAAAATGGAGGCAAATATCAACCATTTTCAACATCAGTGAGGCCAATAATTGTTTTTGTATGTGTGACAGATGAAACATAAGATTAGCTTACTGTACTCATTGGCTTAAGCACCAAGGACACTTAATTAAATTTAGGGATCTTGAGAGTAGGCACCTATTTGAGATGGGTGCTTTCTTATTGAATTTTTACCATTTTCAGCTGCAATGGTAAGTTTATTTTTCAAAAAAACAAAACATAATAACAATAAATGAAAATGGACCAAAGGGAGTGCATTTAGAGATTGTAGGCCAGTAAAAAATAAAAAAATAAAAAAAATAATAATAATAATTAATCCTTGAACAGTAATACAAGGTTGAGTGCTTAATCAAATAAATACTGTATTTCTGTGAATGTAAGTCTCATTCCTTTCCTTAACATTTCTTAATTGATTCTTTGAACAGTAAGGAGCCACACAAAATGCTATTCTGACCACAGTTATCTACTTTTTAAATTATCCCTAGCATCAATATGCCTATTCTTCATACTGTTCTCTATACATTTCCTTAAGTGCTGACAAGGAGAATTTGCTAAACAATCAAGATCTTCTGTAGTTTGTGATTATTTCCTTTATTCTGGTGACCCTAATTTTTGAATCAGGGGTGATATTGTAAGGAGAAATAAGTCACTCTTAGCAGTCAAAGGGTTAAAAACCAGAGAAGCATTTTTGGGGAAACCATCTAAGATGATACGCATGCACAGCCAGGAAACTGAATTATTTTGAAAATGTCTGTGTCTATAGTAGAGCTTTTATCATAACTGAAGTTTACATTATTCTCTTACCTAAAACCTTTTTCTCTTATAGTGTATATAGATGTGTCCAAGGGGAGCATCTCTGACTCCACGCATAGTTCACGGACCCTGCGATCTATGATCTATTGAAGAAAATATTTCAGCACTATTAAAAATGATCAGTACATAGAACCCTTGATGGTGAGCATGGAAATATTCAGATAAAGAGGGGAAAATCTAGCCTAGATAACTTTTGACGACTGAAAACTGCTCTATTATCATCATTATCATTGAAATATTATCATCATCATAATCAGCTAAAATTATTATATCATAATCACAAAATTATTAAATGTGATAGGCTATCACCAACTGATTTGAGCCCTAGTAGGGCACTATATACGTCAATGATCTTCTTTATACCCGAAAAACAAATTTTAACCAGTTACGGTACTTTTAGTTTTTATTTTATTTCATCATTTTTTTCTTACAAAAAATTAATGGTTCCGCACGTTCTGCCAGCTCCAGAGGTTCTGCAGTCTGCTGATCCTTGGTTTAGTAAGACCCTATCTGGAAGGTTGTTTCGAGCAGTGATTGAAATGAACAAGTCTACTTGTAGTTCGTAGTCATGAAGTGTTTTCATGCTATTAGCCTATCCTTTAGAACAATTTACTTTCAACAATGGAAAAACCAAAAGCTAGCTTACACATACCAATGAGACAAATGTGTCAAGCTTACATGCATATATGCGAAATTTAGAAAGGCATGTTTTTATTTGTGCATACCTACATGCAAATTTATGCATGTTTTATGTGAGTTTTATGTTTAACGTACATCTAAGCAGTACTTTACATACCCAGTGTAACATGCAAATCAAACATCAAATTCTGATGTTGGAGTTATTTCCAATATTTTTGAGGCACACAACTTGTACTGGAAGTTGAGTAACCAGCAGACAATTATTAAGACCCAATAACCAATCCGACCTTGCTAATCTGCACTGTACATTTCGAAACAGAAAATCAATTATCACGACTGACCGAAATCAGCCTGTTTTTTTATCACGTTTTTACAAAATTTCACCCTCGTGAGACCAATTTTATCGAGACCTCAAATTTAGGATCGTTTTTAGTCGAAAAACCATTATTACATCTGGAGGAGAAATGAGACCGATAGCACGAGAAGGTCACTTAGATCTAACTGCATCCTCTTTTAAAAGAAAAAAAAATTCTTTGGTTTAACATATCAGATTTCAAAGTCTTGTCTACTGCACACTTATTTCTCTTTCATTATCATGCTTCTACGAAAACAAGATGAAATTATCGTAAGCACCGACTCATTTCTTGCGATGCAACTTACATTTAAATTCTTTATGAAATCTACATGAAAAAAAACCATTACGATTACTTTTGGCTTACTTGTATATTTTTCATTACGTTTTAAACAAAGTGAAAGGGTAATTTCACCTTTCCATATTGCGCCCCAGCATCTAGAATGGCTACTCTCTCTTGTCCCATTTGTGCTTCCGACATCGCGCTGTCGTTTTGAACAACGTGACCGTTAATACACGAACCCATTCCAGCAACTTTGCTGAGGTTCGACGCCATTTTCCACTTCGATTCCCGCGGTTTGCGCAAATTAGCGCATGCTTCTTAGTCAGCGGCGCATTGCCGCAGCCTTCTCCGAGCAGTGTCCGAACCATTATCCGAAAGTCCGAACCTACTCCGAGTAACTCTTCGTCAATATATGCGGAAATATTCATGCCTCTAGAGAGAGGCACGATGGCGGATAAAGCGCGTCTGAACCATTTGTGGAATCTGGCCGTGAATTGCGCAAAGGAAAACCCACAGTTGTCTCAATTCTACGTGAACGAGATTCGCTCTACTGAAGAAAATGGTGACGCTTCACTGGATAATTTCAAGTTGAAGTATTGTAAGCATTGCTACATGGTATTTAGCGCTGATAATTGTCGCGTGAGATTGCACCCTAAGCGTGGAAAGAAAAAGAGACTTGACGACAAAAAATGTCGCTCTAATATGGAAATACTTAAACTTCACCGAAGACTAAACCATGTCGGGGTATTTTGCAAGACGTGTGAAAAGCATTCATTTTATCCTGGACGCGCAGGAGACGACAAAAAATCCACACTTGAAAAGAATATTTCGTTCTCTGTCCCGCAGAATTTGCACAACAATAGCACAAATGAACAGAGCACTCCTGTTTCATCAAAATCAGCGAGTTCCCGGAGAAGAAGTCACAATTCTACGCTAAAAGATCTTCTACGAGCAGATGATCGAAAAAAATCAGCCACTGGTGTAACTCCTCAACTAAAGGATTTCTTGTCAAGTTTAGGACATTCCATTTCCCTTACATGAAGCAAAATGTAACCGCTAGAAAACAGATCTGAACTTGCTTATGGAAGATATAATTTCGCTTGATGAATTTGACTAAAATTTGCCAAAATCATAAAATCCTTGAACAGTCACTCAGTTTAACAAAATTTTTGTCAAATATTCCATTTTCATTACTGCCTCATTTTTGGACATAACTGAACTATTTAACATAAATGTTTATCTTATTTAAATGAATCTAGATGGATAATGGAGAGGTCCTCATGGGATACAGGCAGGTTACATAGTAGTGTCTCCTAGACTGAGCAATTTGTTCAGCATGTAAGTCATAAGACTTGAATAGAACCAATGGTTATTAACCATGGCACTGCATTTTTGAATCGCAAAATTATCTTAGTATATCATTGTGTAGGTATCTGGGCACATTTGACTTGCAAACAAGCAAGCAGGCAAGTTTATGTCTAACTTCTGAAGCAAGTTTGTAGATTAAGGGTGATACTTTAAAGAGAAATTAGAAGCCACTAACTCTTAGGGGTTAAAATGTTAAATAATTCCCCAGTAAGTGTCTTCAAATTCCTTCTCTTCTCTTTCCTCAGTAACAGCAGCTATGAATAAGTCTTCTGTTAGATACAGTGGCAAATTATCTCTCATGCTTTGAACTTTGGAAAGAACTGTGAGGATGTCTACATCTTCATAGTGACTAAACATATTATTTTCCGGAATGAAAAAATGAGGTAAATTTTTGGCTTTCAGACATGACAAAAGTTTATCAATAAGGCTTAGCAACAAAGCACCTCGACTGCAAGATTCTCTTGTTTGCTTGGGCATCGACTCCAGAACCCAAAACATAACAGTTTTCAAGTGATAGGAAGCAACAAGCTTTGGTTCTTGCAAGTATTTCCTTCGCAAAGCTTTCACTACCATGAGCACTTGCTTCTGCCATGGCACCATAGCAGAACTGAGAAGCAGCTCAGCTGAGCTGAAGCTGAATCGCCACTCCAACAGCTTATTTGTGGTATGAGGATGAGGCTTTGCAAGCAAGTAACTCTGAAGACTGGAGACTGTCTCCACTAGTCTTTGATTTGGCCAGTATCTTCTTCTTCTCAGCCATGCATCTTTGATATCTGCAGGAACTTGACAGAGTATAGTAGGAGCTATGTCAATAATCTGATTTTCCCAAGAGCTGTCACTCTGCGATCCTTCGATGGCTGACAGTGTGTCAAAAAGTGCTCCTACTGCTGTGTCTGGCCAAGCATCAGAGTCAGGCCAAATCAACATGTTGATGGGCTCTTTAAGGAAAATGGTCATAACTGGATAAAAATCCTCTACAATTTTACGTTTCATTCCAAGCTCAAGGCCTAGGGAGGGGTTGAATTTTGTTCCCATCACATGCATCACTGCATACTCCACTCGTCGCTCAAACATCTTGACAAATTTGTGGGAAAGGAACAGTTCTTCATTATGTATTTCATAAAGCATTGTGAATGGATCCACCAGATCTTTTAGTGCTGGTGTATCTTGTATTGAGATGCGAGTCGCATCTAACACTTTCAAATTGACATAACCTGGATTAGGTCCTTCCACTGAAACACATTTCAGTGCTTCACTGTCCCCTTCAGTGGCAATGGCATCTGGTAAGATAAGCATGAAATCCATCTCCTGTATAATTCTTCCATCATCTGTACACTCGGCAATGTGACAGCCCTCAAACATGCTTCCCACAGGCAAAACAGTTTTTTGTAGTTGGCTTGATATCCGTTGTTCCATTATTGCTTCAAAAATTACTTTGTGCTGAGCCATATTGAGAAATAGGAAATTCTCATACTTGAAAAGGGCTCTTTCAATCTCTAGCTGTTGAAGTTGAAGTGTCTTAGCCTTTGTAAGAAACCTGAAAAGTAAGAAGAATATTAGCTTTTCTTCACATAACATTAGCCAATGAGAAGGCTCCTCCCATGCAAATTAACACAGAAATGAATGATGAACTTAGTACAGAAGAACCTCACCAACTCAAACTGCCAAAGGAAACAAAAATTATTTGAGTTAGCTGATAGTAAATGCCTGGAAAGATGGGTCATGGGATTGGATTTTGAGTGAGTTGATTTAGCAGGGTTTCACTGAGGAGGATCTTGCTGACCATTGGCTTATGCATTTATCCTTTTTTCCCAGCCCCAAACGAATACCTGTCCCTAGGTAAAATCTTTCAGCCAAGTAGCTTTTAAAAGCCAGCTATTGCTGGACATGCTTAATGTAGGTGTTTGGTTTGGAAACTGGGTGCATCAGTAAATGGCTAGAAGGGAGTCATGTGGCAAAATGTGAGGGAGGCCTAGGTCAGATTAAAGAAAAAAGGGAAGTTGGGTTGCATCCTGACCCATCCCATATCCTTTCTGCTTGCTGGTGATATTATTGCACTAATTAGCAGGGCCCTCTGTTTCACTAACCAAACACTTGGAACAAGCTTTGCATGGATGGGAAGCTGATCCATAACATATAACCTCCAGGCTTTATTTGAGGATTTCCTTGATAGCTCTCTAAAGCCAGTCTACACTTCAAGTGGAGAGAGTAAAAAGTCTTGTCCAAGAACACGAGTGTCAGCCATAGTCAACTGTTTAATGAGATCAAGACAGGACTGGTTGACAGTAACTAATGTTTTGACACCTGAACAGACTTACACTAGTGCATTATTGAAAATCTTTGGGTTAGTGAGACTTCAATGTGAAGGCTAAATTTAACCAAATATTTTATTTTCACACTTGTAAACTTAACAAATTAATACTTGCTTTAACACTATTTACTATGGAACCATTCAATTACACCCTCAAGTTGACTAAATTATGTAAAAATAGTCATTGAGAACATGGCTGAGAGATTTCTACAGTAGTCATCAGAAAAATACATGTCATGTTCATGAAACATCCTTTTCTCTCAACCTCTTCACTTCCAAGGTCAAAGAATAAATTCTCCATACTCTTGGTCTCAGTTTTCTTACAATTTTGGACCTGAGAATTTGGTATAAATCAAACAATGTCTTCCTTTTTAATAATTTTTTCACTTCTCATCACCATTTTTGCTTAAAAATATGTCAATGTTATAAGGAGAAATTCACTTTTGGGAATAAAATAATTAAACAAACTGCAAGACTTTTTTAACTAAATCATCACCATTAGCTCTCAACCACTCCTCTTGAAAGAGTTCAGAGGTCAAATAATGTAAAAGGTTTCTTTGAACCCTTTTCAACTCCTTAAGTGTAGAACTTATGTCACATGCATTCAAACCTTCCAACAGATTAGCATGTGGATTAAAAAAGTGAGGCAAATTATTGCTCTCCAGGAATGCAGTTAATTTGTCCAGAAGGTGCACGAGTAATTCACCTCTTCCCATTTCCTGTCTTTCTGCCAGAGATGTTGATTCTAAATGCCAGAAAAACACCATTTTGATGGAATGAGATGTGAAGACTTTTGAGTCATGAAAGTATTTTTCCTTTAGAGCTTTTAGAATGACAATACATTGTCTTTCTTTAGGCCCAGTTTCAGAGAATAACAAAAATTCTGCTCTACCAAAAGTTATCTGAAATGCCATCACCTCTTTGTCTATTGCAGGTCCTGTTTCATCCCACAAGGGGTGTAGGTAACAAGGAGTCAATGCAATCTCTTGTACAGATTTCATAGTGGGCCATTGTCTCTTCCTTTGAAGCCAGTTCTCCATTGCAACAGCAGGCCAGCTACATTCCAACACCACATGAACTTTAAAAATGCGAGCTGGCCAGAAGGATGAACTCAAGTTGATGAGATTCACCCACAACATTTGTGCAGTTGTCATTGCATTTCCTGACCAGGTATTTGGATCTAATGGCAACATATCCAGATGATCACAAATTTTCTTGAAAAATGTCACATCAAGTGATGCAGAAAGTTTCACATCTTGCCTTGTTTCAGACCTGTGAACAATTTCCATGCCACCAGGCTTTTTTGCATAAACCTTACTAAGTGAATTCCAAATTTTACCCTCCATTGCTTGCATAAAATTTCTTTTGATATAAAAACCATCACTGCAATGTCTCAGATAACTAGCTGTTTGATCGATGCCCATATGTTCCCACTCAATAACTGATGGGTCTGACATCTTAACGAGCACTTGGTGGGTTTTCCCATCAACCTGGGTATACTGAAAAGTTCCTGTTGATTCTTTAGCTGTGGGTGTTGCAAGCTGAACGAAAAAATCACATTCAACTGCAGTTTCCAATCTACCGTTTATCTTCTTTGGAAGGAAACATCCCTCAAATGCACTTCCGATCAACACACAGTTGTCTGTTTCCTTGCCAAACGATTTAACAGCCCTCAGAATAGTTCGATGTTGCAGAGGAACAAGGAGAAAGAAGTCGTCATACTGTCTTACTGCTGCTTCAAGATGTAGAGTGTTAGAAATCTGAAAGAAACTGAGTATTTCCCAAGGCTTTCCATTCTGTGTAAACCTGAAGATGTACACGACATATCAAGCTACATTTATAATTGTTCAATTTCGATTTTGTTTTACACAGATCGCGGAGGGAAGATACTAATAAGGTCATAACAGAAATAAACTTTTTTATTTTAGATTATTTAAATGTCAATTTTATCTCATGAAAACATTTCCAAGTATCGAAGATCACGTGAAACACTTGGGCTGTGAACAGTAGAAACCCAGAAATCCCGTCAAGTGGTACAAAAGAAATTCTTACCTGAATACAAAGGCGACTATTAGGGAAGCAAAAACAAGGCTACAAATTACTGTAAGGATCATGATGAAACCCACATCGAAAGATGGTAAATTTACGATGTTTTGTACTTGCTCTCTGAATTGACCACAGAACCCGGAAGTGTTCGAGTGAGATTGGGCTCTACTCTCGCTCTCATTCCATCGCAAGTGATCGCTGGCACAAACCCCTTTCCACGATGCCAAACGGTGATAGAAAAATAAAGAAAGAAAGAAAGAAAGAAAGAAAGAAAGAAAAGAGAAAGATAAAAATGAGGGAGAAAAGTTTTGGACTCAGATTTGCCGGAAGTTAACTGAAATCCTTCACGCTATCATGAACAACCAAGAGATTATAATTTATATTCTCCTGGAACAACTTGCAAGGAATCTTAAAATCAGTCTAGCCCTTCTTGCGAGGCTATCTGTGTTTCCGGTCTTTTTAGAGACGCAAACTTATTTTCCAGGTGCAGTATCATCACAAATCATTTTTCTAGGAGCAAAATTCTGAAAGCTACCGAAAATAATACAACTCGGTCGAGCGTACGTAGGCGCCCTTAACAACTGTTAAGAAACTTCCCAGAAAGAGAGAGGGAACGGGCACTTCTCTATTTGGCCCGAACGGGTATTTTTTACCAAACAGTTTAAAGTTTCAAGGTTTTCACTCTTAAAAGAAGAACCTACTCTCACGATTTAGCGTCCCTAACAGGTAACCTTTCCAAACCCTTAAATAGAGCTTCAGTACTGGTGGTTCTTTGTCTAATTGTACGGTTCCAGAAACTGTTTTTTTTTTAATGTTCTGTCTGAACACACTAAATGTGTCATTAAGAAGTCTACCACTGTTTTTCGTCTTGACTAGGGTAACCAAATCAAATGGATGGATTTCGAGGTCAGGGTTCAAGGCCCACGGTGTCATTTTCCTTCAAAACTTCTCCAAAATGTTACCCCTCCCCCCCCCCACCTCCCCTCAGGTTGAGAAAATACTTCCCTCTCATTGGATCTTTCCTACTCCAATTTTTTTTCTCAACGGTAGGGGAACTTGGCGTGCTTTCAAGATAACAAACTTAAAGGTTAATTTTTCAATATTGATGAAACGTGACCAAATTCATCTACGCTTGAGCTCTGCCCAATCTTGTGCGCTTTGGCTATTGAGATGTTCACACAAAGACCCTTCGAGACTTTTCGGCTTCATTATTGCATTTTGATTGGATTATCTTTGTTATTGATGTCTATTGTAATTTTATTTAATATCTATTCAGATTTTTCACAGTGTTTCAGTATTTTTTTTCAACGAAAGCTTCGTCAGAGATGCAAATTTGACTAGCAGAGTTCTACGTAACTCTTATGAACTTTAGAAACTTGCCTTCCACAGTTATATTCACATTGCTTTTGCAGTTTTTCTGAGAAAAGTTGTCAGATTTTCCTGGAAAAGTACCAAATGTTGAAATCGTGAAAAGGCTCAACTAAAGACATGTTTACATTGGAATGACCTTTTTGTGCGTAAAGCATCTGCAGAGGCCTTCTCCCCACAATGGAGATTTTCTCTCTACAATTCTTGATTTGAAATAAATACAGCGAGCAAGCGAAAGGGGTTGTATTTGAACGTAATGGCATAGCACTGGGCAACGACAAGTGCTGATCAAAAGATGTGTACTCACTCGAAATACCGAAATAGGACAGCCCACAATCATGCCATTTCGGGTTTTTATTATACATTTCCGCTTTAAGCTGGCAGAAATTCAAAAGCTAGCGCATAAAAACTTCAAGCAGTGCCAAAACAAAAAAGACTGAGATTTGTCGGTGAAACCCTGCCTGAAAATCATAGGGAAGTGAATTACTGAATTATATTAAACACGTTGAAAAAAAACGACGGGATGACTTATCAACCAGTTTTTGAAGTAATGGCGCCATTTCTTGTGGAAAAAATTTATACAGACGAAAGAACAGGGGCGTAGCAAGATGTAAGTGTTTGGAGGGCTCGATTGGATTCCATCCCTGAAGGTGTGTTTATGATCGGGGACGTTGCATTTGGAGCGTTTACTTCCAGTTTTCCACGAAATGCTGTGGTTCTGGTGAAGCCCTTGATCAAGTATGACCATCTTGGTGAAATCATCAAACCGCCATCTTCCTACGAGGAAATTTGGACCGACGAGGGCTCCGGGGGTTGACAAGACGGCTCTTTTTGGCGAGTACATGCTCCTCCAGGCTTTGTGGCCCTAGGCGATGTGGCTTGCAATAACTGGTCTCAGCCGACCCCTGAATTTACCGTCAAGTATGCCTGCATCCGACAAGATTTGCTTTCTGCTGATGCTGAACTGTCTTCCACAGCTTTGTGGAACGACAGTGGCTCCGGAGCAGAGCGACATGTTTCACTCTGGCCCGTGCAAGGCTATTACCAGCCAACTGGATGTTTTAAAGCCCATAGAGCATACAACAAACCATGTTTGGAAGTTTACACGCTACCAATTGCCAAGATATACAGTAAGGAATGCTCCAATAACTAACAGTTGAAGAATTAAAATTATTGACGTCACTAAAGATTCTGAATCTTGTATACGTCTTCATCAATTACGCATGTATCTGCAATAATGTGTCAGAAGAACCGACTGCAATTAACGCTTAAAAGAATCAAAGAAACTGTATTACTGTATAAAAGCATGTGATTATAGATAAAATAAATATGACTACAGTTTCTTCTCAAGAACATCGAATTTGTCGACGCTTTGTAGTCTTTCGAATTTGTTAAAAACTTGTGTGAGCAAGAAACCATTAGCGTCATTTAATGTTCGCTTTGGATATACAGTTCTTTAAAATCTTCTTAATTTCACAGTGAAGAGTTTCATAGCACTCTAGTATTCAGCTACTACATCATAGCATCACAAACGAAGCCATTTTTACCTTGAATTTGAAGCTGATGGCTCGCTACTAACTGCATGAATCAGTGTAATGTAAGCTAAAACCCTAAGTGTGCTCACTGAGACATCAATAAACCAAACACAGACCTTTTTAAGAATATAACCAGACTCGTATCATCTCTTGTATGGATTGATTATGAGCTTCAACCGATAGCTAACCAAAAGAAAGGCTATTTCTTTGTCACAGACTGAAACCTTCGTTTAAAATTCGTTGAAAAACCAATACTTTCGGGTTTGACTTGAGACACAAACATTACACTGATTGGTGACTTCCGGCATTTCTCGGAATTTCCGATCATTTCCTTTTCCTTCCATTTTTTTTTTCGACCAATTAAAATCATGTCTGTTTTGTTACTCTGAGAGCTAGGAACTAAACCAAGGCAATTTAATCTCTGATAGTTTGAAAAGCTAGTAAAGTTAACTTTACATCTCCTATGATAGTAAGGAGCGCATTTCGATGTAGTGTCGCAACACCGTAATCAAAATAATCACCACTTTCAGGAGAAACAAAGGCAAATGGACGCGCTATATCGTGTATTACTTTCGAACCTCGAATGACTGATTAAAGCAACGTGTCGAAGCGCCAAATAACACTTTTCATTTCGTCCTCAAAAATCAGTTATATAAAGGTTTTCTAAGGGGCTCATTGTGGTGTATACAGAGGAGAGTCGGGGAAAGGAGGGGGCTGCACCCCCCTTCCCACACCTTACCTTTTTTACTACTAGTTTGACGACAAGCTTTAAGCAACGAGCAGATCGCTTATACAACTCTAGTGGCTGATGTTTCTCATGCAGCCGCGCGTGAGGGAGGCGGACAGGCTTGTTCGCTCAAAGGAGTATTTTGGGCCCCAAGTGGTTTCAATATTCATACGATGATCGAAAAGTATAGGGAGAATTTGTATAACCCGTATGTCATATGTCAATGAGAAAATACAATTAAGAACATGTAGTTGGGAACATTTATTCAAAAAAAAGAAGACAGAAGTAATCCATCAACCAAAGCCGAGGTCTCCGTACATAGCTCCCAATATCCACATTGATGAACATCCACTAAAGTGGTACAAAAATTCACATACCTCGGAAGCATCATCACGAACGATCGAACATCGCCAAAAGATGTTGAGAATGGGATGTCCAAAGCTAGAGGCGCATTTTGTCGTCTTCAAAAACGAGTATGTGAAAACCATTCTCTTCGACTCTCCTAAAATTCTTGTATATAGGGCTGTTGTCATCAATACCCTCCTGTAAGGCATTGAGGCATGGGTACTGTGGAGAGACAAATCAAACCCCAAGATCAGTATCACCAAAGTTAACGCTGCCTCCGCTCCATCATGAACATTAGATGACAGGAAGCATAAGAACAGGATTCAACAGGACCTACCTTCTTGTGCCCTAGATGTCCTAGAACCTGCCTATCGAGAATAGGACTGATAAGTCATTTGAGGGCATCCCGCCCTCCCCTGGCGGGACCTTACACAACTGATCATCGGATACGTGTTTATGTTCAATTGCTAGAATAAATTCGGCATGATGGCACGATGCCCGCACTATGTCACTGTGCTGGCATTATGCTCGATCCTCCGACTATAGCATATATCTGAGCCTAGTCTCGAGACTTTCTCAGCCACAGCGTCAGAAAGCCAGTCTTCGTTATCAGAAGTTTAATTGAGTATTGCTGCATGTCCGAATTGTCGCTGTTTTGTTGATAACATTCTTTCCGCCTTTTAATAGCTTATGTACTAAAGTATTAGTTTTCTACAATTATACTCCGCGCCTTGTTGAAAATGCTTACTTTCTTTGGATCATGCTGAACACAGGTAAGCACAGGAAGTGCGTTTCAATTGGGGAAAACGTGCTACTCATATTTCATGCACCTTTATAATCTTATGCTCCCACACAATATCCTTGGTTCAGATACTGCGTCGATCACTTTGAGGCTTCAACATCTCACCCCCGGGTAACCCACGGGCATTTGACTGTCGTCTGTGCCGTAAGGGGGGGTGGGGGTGGGAATTTTGAACTTGTCTTGCTGAGGTGAGGAATTTGAGCTGGCAGTGTCAAGCCTTTCTCGCAGAAAACACGTGTTTTATCTTAAATATGCAGGTAGTCGGACAAAAGAAGAAGGGCTGAAAAGAAAAAGTCTACAATCTACGCTGATTTTGCCTTTTACAGAAAAATTGATCGTTGAATTCGGTA